ACCAATGATCTTATATGAGGCCGAGTAAAATACCGTATTTCTTAAACACTATGAAACTGAGTCAATAGAACAAGATTTTTTGACAAAAGGTCTGAAATTCAGAGTGTAATCAACGTTTTTGGTGTGTCAGATTCCTTAGTAAATACTTCTAGCAGGTAAGAATTAATATAATTGTTGTCTCAGAAGTTGTCCAGGGTATGATGGAATTCTTTTCGAGCTAAAATTGTGTGGATGTCTCTGAAAAATTTTTCCAGGCAGTTCGATTATAGGAACCGTCATTTTCAGTCGTTTGAGCTCACTACAATTGTAGTAGGGAGATAAGCTCTATGAGAAGCTCATTTGAAAGTAGACTACAGAGTGATTTTATGGCATAAAGTTCAAGATGTTAAACAGACGTCAAACGTCGAACTTTGATGAGCGGAAATATTGAATTGTTAGTTTGTAGATACTTCTATTTTATTTTTCCAGGTAATCTTAATTTGAAGTCGTGTTATTGCTGGTTAATGTCTGTTGCATTTTGTGCACTTGATGCGACGTCAGCTCACTATTCCCATCGTCCTTCTTTTCTAAGCTCTCCTCACGCTACTCTACAGGTTTTCCTAATGCATAAAGTACCTTCTGACCAGACGTTAGGCACTATAAACTCCCAGTAATATGTTACGACCGAACTGTCAGTATTCGGTTTGAACGCAGGACTGACGACCCAAAATGTATTCGAATAGGCTAGAATACGTTCTTCTGTATAGCTTACAAAGCGTGTTTGAGACAATCATATTAAATTATATCAAAAACAAACTCTGTGCTCAATTCAAACGGTTCTAATTTAGCAAATAGAACAAATTATGTCAAAAATACAAAATACCTCAAACGGTACGGCCTGTGCTACACAATCAGAAGTTTCTCTAACGCAAAGCAGCGCGCTAAACAATAAAACGAACAGTTAATACCAAAGACTTCGATACCTGAGAATCAATAAAAATATTCCCAAAAGGATGAGATCAAATATCTATCTGCAGGGATTCTAGCAATCATCTCAAGCAGACGGTTAAAAGGTTTACAGTCACACACTGGACCACGGCGTGACCATAAACTTAGTCAAACACGGCCTTTCTGTCAACAGTCCGGCAACATGCAATAGAAAATCAGGTAACAAAAGATAAGTCTTTAATCAAAATCACGTGATAAAGGCTCAAACGAGGAAGACTGAAGAACAAAAGGTGTGGTTAAACGAGATTTGAACAAAGGTTAAAATACACGACAGGGAGAAGAAACAAATAAATGACAATACTGTCCAACAAAAAAGCTGCGGAGGGATTTTCATCGTTTCTTTTACGTTACAAATACGATAACATCACGGCATCACATTGGTATATTGAGCCGTTCTTTATGACGGTGGTGTTCCTGCTATGTCAGAAATATGCTATTATTTCCATGTTGTATGGAGGAAAATTTAAAATAATGCTGATTAAATTGGGAAAGCTACTTAATGATTGAAAAATGAAGTGGAAAGAGATCTCTTCTTCTCAAATACATGGCATTTCAGTGTTCCTGATAATTCATAATTCAGTTTCTGCTAAAATTACTGGCTAGCAGAAATACACCGAAAGTAGGCTAATGGTTTATTCTGGTACGACGTCATAAGAAATATTATTGTCAAGAAAAACGAAATTTCACTGCAAACAAGGATGCCATAATAAGTTTCTCATATTTTGTCTTCATGCTTTTTATTTCATCTGAGTTTAACTGTCTGATTCTATTTTTTATTTTAAGAGTAAATTAAAACCTTTATTAAGGATTTTAATCGCTGTATATCTGTATGAGACATAAGCAACTACTAAAGGGCTGCAAATATTACCTTTCCTGGTTAAACATGTACACAGCTTAATGACCATATTTCAGAAGTAAAATCAGATTCATAAGGGAGAGATATAGTTATGTGTATTATGGTTTGTGTGACCATAGGTAATGACAGTTGATAGTTTATGGTCATGCTAAGTGATCATGGGATGAATGGTCACTTTCGCTATACCAGAAAGAAAATGTTAGATAGATAGTACGCATGTTTTATGCTGCTTACGGACGTAAACTCGTCGTAATGAAATATGCCGTTCTGAAATACACATCATTTCAATACCATTTCCAAGAAGCCTACATAAAGGACTAAGGATAAAGTACCATCACAATATTTTGTCCAGGATTCCAGTTTGTAAGTTGTTGATATTCGTTTAAAGATAGTCGGTATCAGAAATAATTAATATCATAGAATAAGATTCACAAATTCATTATGATTTCTGATATTTTACAGTGAAAATACTACGTGCAACACTAGGAAGAAGATAGTTTAATGTGAACCGAGACTGACTGCCAAAATTATATGGCAGTAAGTTGAATTAACCGTAACTAATCCAGGGAAGCTGCTATATCCCAAGCAACCAATAAAGGGGAAATAAAGGCGAATAAAGAGAAAATAAAGCAGACGACAGCGTAAATAAAGGGGAAATGTCGCTTTACCGCCTTACGTCGTGTATTTGGGGGAAATTTGTCGACAATTAGACGTTACGAACAGTGTTTGAATAAACCGCATCAGAAACTTAAGTTTTCATAAACTTAGACAAATTAAGGCACTGCTTATTGAAAAAAAAAACTATTGTCATAAAAGAAAGTTACAAAGTGCAGAACCAGGCATTCGGTTTAGACGCAATTACACTAACTTTGTTAGTCCAATACTATGAGTTTCATTGAAGTCAGTGAGAACGTTCGTAGACGCAGGGCCACTGTGAACTTGTCACGTTCCCTTGGTTGTCATAGAACCACTTATAACAGGAGGTGGAATAAAATGCAAGCAGCTTTCATGAAAAAATATGACTTCCTTTCGTTCAGTGAGTTTGTTAATGAAAGCACCATAAAAGGTAACTGAGTTCAACAGTGTTGTTCATTAAATAGATAGAAGTAAAGAGCGAAATCAGTTGTAATGACAGTAATGCAACTGTTACACCATACGTGAATATATTTCCGATAGAATGTACTGAAGTAAACTTGTGCTCTCAGAAGTTCGTAAATCGCAAGGAAATGATGAACGACTTTATAATGTATATAATGTCAAAAAATGTCCTTCTGCAATAGGCTTCAAATTAGTGGTTTAACACATACTCCCCCAATAGGCGCTAATGGCGTCTCCAATAAACAGGTAATTTTGTTTAAGAATAGTAAAATAACTTCCTTTAGGCTTGATAATGTAGTAGTAGTAAACGGACAGCCTGGTTCAGTCACTGATATAAAGGAGGATGGGCTACTAAAAGTTAGGTCTTTCACTGACCCACGCAATTACTTCGAAGATACTTTCCCATCTAGCGATATAGGAATCTTTATGTGCTCCGTAGTTAGCCATGAATACACATGGGTATCAGTTAATGACATTGATTGTAAATGTATAGCCATAAATTGTATGAATTATCTAGTTCTAGTCCCATTGTTGCATACTATAATGTAAATGTATTTTGTTTCATCAGTGCTTAATTCATAATGATTAACCATTTAATTACGTCTTATGTTATATTTAGCCCGCTAAATATTAATGTAAAGCAATTACTATTTAAGTCTAATGAACGCGAAAAACCGCATCAGTTCGATTGCGGGCTCTCGAGTCAGCAGTTCCCTTTGTCATCTAAAGAGGAACTGCAGATGCTGGACACTGGTTTGCAGCAGAAAGAAACCAGGGACAGATTTGCAAGTCATTAAAAAGAATTTAATAATTTGTTACTATTACAGATGGCAATGGTTACTAAGTTACCAAGTGACGATCCAAAAACATCGATGCGGTTTGTTCTGTCACATCTCTTGACACCTGAGGTTGCCAGTGAATTCACGTTACTTGGCACCTCCTCAAAACGAGCACTTCAGAAATGCAAGTTTTACGGCTGCATACGAAGTAACCTATATCTATTATTTAAACTTCAGGTGCCTTAACTAATCGCTTTCTGTCATCCGCTGTCAACGAAAAAGACCTTGGTAAGCTGTACGACATCGCGACACAAGGTTACTTTCACGATATACGAGACAAGATGATAAAGCGTAATAGAAGAAAACAAGATCAGATATGTACTAATTTCAAGTGATAACTTCCCTACGGCTCTATAGTTACAGTCAACAATATTAACGAACATAACCGTAAGTTCAGCTTCAAGTATTTGGCTGTGTCAAAGAATGTCTTTGAGATATTCAGAATTCACGGGACGACTGCCTCAATTCTTAATAGCCGAACGAACGTGGCTTAAGGAATGGTCCGTGCAATTGTTTTGATGTTCTACCTACATTTCAATAAACATTATTTTGTCAATGAGCCTGTTTTTTTACTTACATGTGAAACTGTAGAAGTGTTGAGAATATGTGTTTGAGTGTCAGTGAACTTTTGATTAAATGCACATTCCTTATAAATAATACATCACCTGTTCCTTCTTTGGTAGATAATTTCAAATAACAATGAATCAGCAATTGCATTGGATATGCAAAACAGTCGATGCTTAAGCTTCTGTTCTAGTGTTGTACAATAATACTCTTTCTTTTAAATAAAATTTTTCAAAAACATACCGGTTTTCCACTGCATTGCAGATTTATTTTGGTCTGTTGTTGAAAATAAAGGCGAACTTAGGAGACCTTTAGGGTTATGTCAATGGATGGAAAATAAGGAGTTCTGTGTGTATTTAAGCGAAAAGTAGACAATTAAGCGTATACGTAGGCAATTACGCGGAAATTTAGGTGAAAAGTAGACAATTTAGCGGATATTTAGGCGGGAAGTGAGTAAATTATCGACAAAACGGCGAAGAAGGGGGAAATCCGCATTATTTCCCCCAGACAGGCATGCAAGGCGACATTCTGATGCGTTTTCTCCTTTATTTCCCCTTTCGCTACCAAAGCATTTACCCCTTTATTTCCCCTTTTTTGGTTGTCTGGGATCATTGACATTTGGGGCGTTAGAGGGATCAAAACAAAATGTTAGGCCCATGAATTACAGATTCTTACTTGAGAACAAAGCTGGTGACACAAGGAGTATAAAACTGATTAAAGAGGTAACACGGCGTACCAACTGCTGATCCGGTGCAGGTGAGGCCCGTAGGACCAGTGAAGCCAGTTTCAATGTTCAATACTTGCAGAAATATCTATTTTGAGGAGTTATTCAGCGCTACAATGTCCTTAATCGGAAAGAAACTTGTGTGTCTGCTGCAAATAGGTTTTTTCTGAACATTTAAAATTGCCAAATAAATTCACGAGGCGAGCAATAGTGGAAGTTTCTTAAGGCTCGGAGAAAAAACGAAAATTCGATGTAGAGATCAAGAGATACTGATGGTTCAAAAGCGAAAAACGTTAAACACAAAAAAGTGGAATGTCCATGGTGCTGCAGCTAAAAATCCGATATAAACGGGCGTTAAAAAAGCGTTTACACCTCTAAACAAAGTCCGAACAAAAAAATCACTCAACGAAGACTAATATATCAATAGCGCGCGAATATATGATAGTGAAATAAATACAGACCTCAGGAACATATAGGTCAACTGAACAGCGAAAATTAGAGACGTCACTTAATTCAGCAGGTTTGTGCGTGTTCCGGTTGAATTTGGTACCAGAATACACAATTAGAGATGATTAAAGATTCCAGTAAGCGGTATGTGTATAGTAGTGTTTTTGTTAGTAGGTAACAGCGTGTGTCATGCTATGAGTGTTACACGATGGAAGTGTGTTCAAGGTCATACACTTAAACAACACGTACAACCATTTAATAGTAAATGTACAGGCTATGAAGAACTAACAGAATAAATACAAATAGCATCACAAGCTATTTACAAAATAAGCTTGTCGTGCATATCTCCACAAGATAATTTTGAACGACTGAAGTCAAATAATTGATTCAAACCATTCTCTTATTTGCATCATTCGTCTACTAAATGAGTGGAAAAATGACAGACAGTTCTAGACATTGCACTCTTGATGACATTTAAAGTGATTGTCATCTTTCTCGAAGCGCTTTGTTCATTTGTCCCGCTACTTTCGACGTAGCTGCGCTGCATATATCAAGGTTTGTGAACTAGGCCTTACACTTATAGTCACTGAATCTTGTGGGTTAGGAAACTCGACGAGACTGTAGTTTATGGACGAATCAATTGGATTTACGATAGCAGATCCCGTGGTTTCGGGGCGAAGTTTTTTGTCCATTTAGCTAAATAGTGTGTTTTTGCGCGTTAAACAAACTAGCTGTAAATCAAATTTTGCGTCATGCTGTTCGTTATTTTAATACTTCTATCACTTGTGGTGTAGCCAGTAGTCTGTTGTAATGTACTCAAGTTTGTGGAGTTTTATGAAGTCTTTTTGTCGTTTGACTAAGATTCACTCTGCCGTTGCTTAACCACCAATGCATCGACTGCGTGTTATTATGTAACTTAAATTAGACCTGGTCGGTCTGAGTATATATTCATTAACGTTGTGTCCATGGCTACATAATTAGTTGTTTTAGGTAGTATTGAGTTCAAAGTAGTTTCTTTTGCAGATACACCCCGGATGCCGAAGCGCAACAACCCGGAATCTCCTACTGATTCAGTAACTGGAGTGTCAGGAGAAGAGTCTCAATCGAGCAGTGTAACAACTCGAAAACGATGTCGTCTGGCTAATGCTTCGCAGGTAATACTGTATTAGGGGACATATATATGGTTGTTTGTTTTGAATCGTTGTGAGTTTTGTAATCTTTTGCCCTTTCCAGTGTGGTCATTAGTTAGCATAAGTTATTTTACCTCATATTCACTTCTTACCAACTTACATCTGTTACCCCTCTTAGAGAAGCATAAACCGCCCACCAGCATTCTCCATCGAACTCTATCCTGGGCAATCTTTTTCATTTGGTGTTCCTCCTTTTGATGTTTGCCCCCAGTTCTCGGCTGTGTCCTTTGGCCTTCCTACTTTCCGTTCTCTTTCAGGATTCCAAGTTAGCGCCTGTTTTGTTATTCAGCTTGATGAGTTTCACGACGTATGCTCTATCCATACTTACGCCCGTTACTCCTCATGAAGGAGCATAGGCCGCTCACCAGCATTCTCTATCCAACCCTGTCCTAGGAAATCCTTTCCAGCTCCTTCCAGTTCCTATTGATCCTTTTCATATCTGCTTCTATTTCTCGAAGTAACGTGTTTGGCCTTTCTCTTTTTCGCTTCCCTTCAGGATTCCAAGTTAGGGCTTGCCTCGTGATGCAGTTTGACGATTTGAGTAATGTATGTCCTATCCATTTCCGCCTCCTTTTCCTAATTCCCTCTTCAGTTGTAAGCTGGTTTGTTCTCTCCCACAGAAGACTGTTGTTGATGGTATCCGGCCAATGGATGTTGAGTATCTTGCGTAGACAGCTATTTATAAATACTTGTACTTTCTTGATTGTGGTTGTTGTAGTTCTTCAAGTTTCAGCTCCATACAGTAGAACTGCCTTGACGTTCGTGTTGAAGATTCTCACTTTGATATTGGTTGAAAGTTGTTTTGAGTTCCATATGTTCTTCAATTGTAGGAATGTGGCCCTTGCTGTGCCAATCCTCGCCTTTACGTCTGCATCTGAACCTCCTTGTTCATCGATGATGCTTCTCAGGTATATGAAGGGTTCTACATCCTCCAGAGTTTCGCCATCAAGAGCGATTGGGTTGGTGTTCTCCGTGTTGTATTTGAGTACCTTGGTTTTCCCCTTGTGTATTTTGAGGCCTACTGATGCAGAGACTGCTGCTACACTGGCTGTCTTTATCTGCATTTGTTCGTGTGTATGCGATGGGAGGGATAGGTCATATGCGAAGTCCAAATCGTCTAATTGGTTCTGAGCTGTCCATTTTATGCCATGTTTTCCCTCAGATGTCGAGGTCTTCATAATCCAGTCGACCACCAGAAGAAAGAGGAAGGGAGAGAGTAGACATCCTTGTCTGACTCCTGTCCTCACCTGGAACGCGTCTGTCAGCTGTCCTTCATGCACGACTTTGCAACATAATCTGTCGTATTAATTCCGTGTGATGCAGACGATTTTCTTAGGTACATCATAGTGTCGAAGAGCGTTCCATAAGGTTCTCTTATCCACAACGTCAAACGCCTTCTTATAGTCAAGGAGGGTGATGTACAGTGACGAGTTCCGTTCACTTGATTGTTCGTCGATAATCCGTAGTGTGGCTATCTGGTTTATGCACGATCGGTCCTTATGGAATCCAGCTTACTGATCTCAAAGTTGGGCGTCTATTGAATCTTTCATCTGGTTCAGCAGCACTCTTGAAAAGTCTTCTTGGTACCGATAATAGTGTGATGCCTCTCTCTCTATATATATATCTGGTACCCCCTTGTACCAGTATTTATGTGTTCAAATAAAATATCTGGTGTGATGCTTCTGCAGTTCTCACATTTGCTCAGATCTCTTTTCTCTGGTATCTTGATGAGGTGTCCTCCTCTCTAGTCTGTCGGCACTTGTTCTTCCTTCCAAATCTTGAGTAGAATATGGAGCATCTTTGCAGTTACTTTTATATCTAACTTCAGTGCTTCATCTGGTTTGTTGTCAGGTCCTGTTGCTTCCCCGCTTTTGATTTGTATGATGACCATCCTGAATTCGATCATTGGTGTAATGACAACTATAGGAATGTCTGTGTGTGCTGCCTCGATGTCCGATGAATTCAATGGAGCTGGCCTGTTCAAGAGTTCCTCAAAGTGTTCCACCCATCTTTTACGCTATCCTTGAATGTCGGTGATTGGCTTGCCTTCTTTGTTCTTCACTGGTTTCTCTGGTTTACTATTTTTTCCTTAATATCTCCTTCACTTGTGGCCGTTTACACTTTTGTTGCTAGGTCTTCTTCGTATCTCTGCTTGTCAGCTCTAATGTTCCACTTCACTAGTTTGTTTGCTCCAGTGTATTGAGCTTGTGCCTTGACTTTCTTTGTTCTTGTTTGGCTGTTGTTAGTTGTTGTCTTGTTCTTCCATACTTGAATCCTGTCTAGAGTTTTGATATAGAACCTGGCCTCTCCAAGTTGAGGATGTTAGACGACTTTCTGTGTTTGATCATCGTTGTCTCCGAAGGATTGCTGACATCCAGTGGCAATACCATGTTAGTAATGCAGAGGTTCGGCATCGTGTGTACGGGCACAGAGATGATAATTCAATTGGTGTCACCATCTTGAAACACCGACTTCGGTGGCTTGGACATGTTCTACGAATGTCGTCCCAGAGATTTCCACGTCGTGCATTATTTGCCGACTCTGGGACTGGCTGGAAGAAGCGGAGAGGTGGTCAGTGCATGACATGGTGTCGTGGTATGAAAGAAAGATGCAAAGGACTGGCTTGTGTTGGTCCTTCACGACTCCCTGGTTGGGGTCCGAGAGATGGTGCAACACAGTGACTAGAGACGTTATCAGATATGGCTCAGAATAGAAGCCAGTAGCGATCCTGCTGTAACCTTCTTTTACTTTCTTCATTAAAAAAATGGTTGTACTTTCCTTAACTGAAGGATTTCTTCTGATTGTACCTTTCCGTTCCCCATTATGACCATGATTATTACTACACTCCCTTACACCAATCTCTTCATTGTTGTTTTTTTTTAAAAAGAAAATTTTTTTTACGTTCCTCATTTTTTTTCTTCTTAAATTCTCATTGTTTTGTGTGGCGCATATATATTTGGCACACTCCTGTACCAATATATATGTTCAAACAAATAAATAAATTCCTTATGATAAAGCTTGTTGCAGTCCTGCTCCTCGTGGCAAATTGAAGTTAGTACTTCTGTGATAGCTTTTCAATCGTTCTCCATAGTAGTTTCATCTTCTTTGAGTAAATCTTCCAAGGCTTGGAACCTGTTGTTGAGAGCTGTCTTGAATTGGTTGAGTCTGTCAGTATTTCGAAGGAAGGCTGTATTGAACTTTTGTAATTCTGTTTTATCAGTTGTACACAGTTCTCATTTAGCTTCAGGTGATGTGAATCCGTGTCATCTCCTCTCTCTGTTCTCACGTCTGTCATTGGTCTGGTTCTCTGTAATGTGATCCGGTGAAACCCATGTAGATTCGTGAATGGGTTTGTGGGTGATTATAATGCCGCCTATAAACATTGTGTTGAATGCGCATAATTTTGCAAACTTCTCACCATTCTCGTTCTTTTGTTCCAGTCCATGTCGTCTCATGATTTGACCATACCCGATATTGTCCACCCTGACCTTGGTGTTTAGGTCTCTCATCTGGATGATCGGGTCATTTACTAAGTACTTCTCTACGATCAACTGAAGCCTCTTATAAAGCTGGTATTTATAATCTTTATTGCTATCATTTGTGGGTGCATAACACGACAACATTCATTGTGATTTCCTCCTTTGTTTTGAAGGATGTCTTGTTGGTTCTTTATCCATAAGATTCCCACCCAATAAGTGTATTCTGCGCTTCTTTGAACAGCACCAGAGCAACTCCCTGAGTGTGTGGAGCATTTTTTTGCTGTAAGAGTAAAATGTTTCAGCTAAGATCCAATAATAAAGGGCCATGATTATAAGGGGCCCATCATGTCCAAGTTTTTTAGCGAATTTTTTTCTCGTTTGGAAAAGTGCCTTTTAGCAATTCTCATTGAAAATTCACCACGGGAATATGAATCTTATCAAACGAACACTTCCAAGCACAGATAATACCAGCCAGTAGAGGATTGAGGTCCTACACAACACCTTTACACTGCGGCGATATTGTTTATGGGAATCAGAGGACAGAAAGCGAATTTAGGGTGCTTTAATTGGATTGAGAAACAGAGAATCCACCTATAGGAGTTGAGTGTGCAGCCCTTCTTGGAAACTACCTGTCTCGGTTTGAATTTCAAAGAAGTACTCCATCCCACAAAAATATCGTGTGGCACATACGATTTCTGGTACCTGGTTGTGCCATATTTTATGTCAATCAAATAGATAAAGAATCTAAACTTAAGACTGTTTTGTAGCTTTTTATTTTTATCTTAAGCACATAGATCGTGGTATAATAGGGGACTGGAAATTAGACAAAAATCTATGGACGATTTTATGAACAAATAAAGAGGAGAAGCGTACAGTCAGTAGACAAATAAACACGAATAGTATTTCGTAAGAGATACAGTTCAGGTAGAAAATACAGCCAAGAATGTTTATTTATTTTAACACATAGATATTGGTACAAGAAGGCACCAAATACTTATGCACCACACAAATATCATTCGATATGTGTGAGGGCTGTGATACTGCCCGGGTGCCCAGACCGAAGCAGGTGGTTTTCTTAGGGGGCCACACCCGGAGCGTTTGACCCGAAGGTCTGGTCCACAAGGCAGTGGAGCAACGTAAGGAGATGCAGTCCCAGGATAACCAGTGACCAACGACTGGTTCATACGCCATTTGTTCCTTCAGGATACTGGAGCCCATGTGCACCATTGGTTTGGAATCAGGGTTTTCCAACTCCCTTAGGTGGACTCTCCATGTCCACCAACCCAGTTAAAGCGCCGAACGTTCGCTTTTCGTCTTCTCAATTTCGTAAACAACACCAGTGGTACTAGAAATCAGTGAGTAGGACTTCTCTGGCAGAGGGTGTATACGCGTGGCCATATGAGAGCATTTCGAGAGGGAGAGCGGACTTTCCCCACTCTAGGCCATACCAGGGCATTTTGGGGCAAGAATGATATAGTTAAGAAAACGCTTATCACTTTTATTAAGAGAGTGGTAAAAAACAATATCAGGAATGCCTTCGAATTCCATTTTAAATCATATTAATAGCGTCTCAAGTTACTGAGTTGCATTAGCTGTAGGACCCCAACTGTGGAGTCGTAACATATCGGCAGATTCCAGTTCTATTCAGCTAGAGTTTTGAAATACTGTATGTCAAAGATAGGCTTTCAAAAGGTTGATCACCTGCTGTCATCTAAATAACATGTCTCGTTTCAACGAACACCTGCTTCTGGAAGTCTTCTTTACTGTGTATGAACATCAAATTTAAGGAGAATATAGGTCTATTATAATTCGTCAAGAATGAGACTGAAATGTTCACTTCTAAAGTTGGTATTTTTTACTTATTCTTGTTAATGTATACATGTCTGTATTTGATACTCTTACTACTCTAGTTGGATTTGTGTCAAGAACTGTTTGATCGAATTCGGGCATATCGTGGGGAGGATGGCTCATTATCTGAAACATTTATGCGTCTACCGACAAGAAGGTAAATTATTTTTCATTATAAGGTTTTTCTGTCACATGAGCTAGACTCAGTGTTACTTGGTCAAGTTTGATTATATTATAAATGATGTTATTTACAAACAAAGTCTTGCAGAACTTCTAATATATAAGGTTTAATCACGATAATTGTAAGATGCTTCTGACTCCCGACCGAAATCGGTCACCGATTCTAGGGAATTATTAGTAGTGATTGTAAATCTCTGACAAAATGCCATAGTAGTTGTCATCGTGATCAGCTTGAACAAAGTTTTGTTGAAGGGTTTTATTCATCTTATTTCAGTTCTCAAAAACCTGAGAATATTTCTTTTTCTCATTACTGACGGGTGTCGATCCGAAACTTTATAACACCAGCGAACTACACTAATAACTCACCTAACATCGTATTCCAACCCAAATCTTAGCTCACATTTACCGATGCTGCATTTATTGTAACCGTAGATGTATGGTGTTATTTTTAAGACACTCAAAAAGCACCTTGGTGTTAATTAGTTGTCTTCGCAAACCTGATTTGGTGGCTATTTCCTTGGGCTTTTGAGGATTTTACGGTTGATTTGTGTGATTTCATCGGTATCGCGTAGTAGCACCAGTGAGGTCAGACGTAGAGTACTAGGTAAATATGACAAATCGGTTGATCAAGTTATAGATCTACATCTAATAAGGTGTCTGGATATGTTTTACTCGTGCCTCGCCGTCATCTACATCGACACACAATTCTGGGTCATTTAGGAGCAGTTTTCTGAACTTATGCGAATTCTCCAAATTTTGTGTAGTTATTACGTAACCCTTCGGTTTCTAATCCTAGAAAATTACAATCTCATTGCTCTAAGTCTTTTATATCCACTTTCAAGTAACCTGAATCTTATGTAAACTCTTCACAACTCGTATAATGCTAACGCGACCCATATATATATATATATATATATATGGTGGTAAGCAGCTGAAGAAAAGCCACTAAATATACTAAATTCATTTTATTCTGCCTCACTTGTGATCCTGGCTGTCATAATCTCTTTCTTACGGTATGACCCAGCTATACCTATTGCTTAATATTCTTGGACACCAATCACTCGACAAGTCTCCAAGTCAGAACACGGTTGAACAGGAAAGAGATTATATTCCAAATAACAAGGTTAGATGGAAGTAAGAAGAAGCACAATAGGGAAAACGTCAGTATATTTATAGTTTTTACATGAAAAGATTCCAGAGTATTCTCCAGCTATCGACTAGTGCTGATTGGATAAGAATTAGCACCAAAGCAATCGTGCATTGAGCTTGCTTTAATCCAGTCTATGTCCCGCTAACACTGGCTTTATTCGAATTCGTGAAGGGAACCGACAGCATAAATATAGGAGCAAGTTTGAAGAAAAATAAAGGTGATCAAACAGGTACAAAACATCACTCTATGAAACCATTGGTTGTTTAGCTGAATCATATTAGTAATGCAAATCACCTGCTTAGTGTTCACACGATAACTGCAACTAGCCAGTCAGTTTTATGCAACATAGAACCTCGCAAATACGTTCGTCAGCTTCTGTTGGTACCCCAAATTAGCACAACAAGTATCAAGACAAATCCTATATTAGTAAAATTAGTAAGTCTCAGTTACTTACTTACTTACTTACGCCTGTTACTCCCAATGGAGGATAGGTCACCGACCAGCATTCTTCAACCCGCTCTGTCCTGGGCCTTCTTTTCTAGTTCCATCCAATTCTTATTCATTTTTTTCATGTCTATTTCCATTTCCCGGCGTAATGTGTTCTTTGGTTTTCCTCTTTTCCTTTGGCCTTGAGGATTCCATGTGAGGGCTTGTCTTGTGACTTAGTTGGGTGCTTTCCTCAATGTGTGTTCTATCCACTTCCAGCTCTTCTTCCTGATTTCCTCCTCCACTGGGATCTGGTTTGTTCTCTCCCACAGTAGGTTATTGCTAATAGTGTCCGGGCAACGGATCCGAAGTATTTTACGTAGACAGCTGTTAATAAACACCTGTGTCTTCTGGATGATGGTTTTCGTAGTTCTTCAGGTTTCTGCCCCATACCGTAGAACTGTCTTGACATTTGTAGTCGCAGTGATATTAATATAAAACACTTTGTATAGATGATGTGAATAAGGGAGAAAAGATGAATTCATTGAGTAAGAAGTACATAAAAGAACTTCACAATTGAAGATCTAAAGGCAGAGAGATGAATGCATCTATGATCAGTAGTCGTAGACGTTATGTGTTAGACTTCAAATCGGTTTTAGTAGAACGGTCGTATTCATTCTCATGTTTCAAGCCCTAATATTTCCTCTTACCTCTTCCTCATTCCTTCTTTTCCAACTAAAACATCAATCTTTGGTCTTTATTACACTATTGATACTATTATTATTTCGACTCCTATCCTACTCATCTTGTTAATTTCATCTCATAGCGCTAGTGTGTTATAAAAAGTTGGGCTGACGCACGTTTTATTATGATTGACGGAAGAAAACGTTCACATGTATCTTTCAGTGGTTTCTTGTTCGGTATCTTCTTGAGTTATCGGACAGTAACTAAAAAGTTGCTAAATGCTTCTGTGTTTCCTTGTATATCAGCTAATCGATATCAGGAAACACAGACGAATTCTATCAACAGCCTTAAACCTATGTTTGGTAATATTGGCATTCTGTAATTGAAATCACCTGCAAATCTACTTCATATTTAGACAACCTGTGTGGAATGAGAAAAACTTGGGGGATTTTATGTTAAATTTTAACTTGATTAACTGATAATAATGATTGAGCAACTATTTGTTCCTGGTCGGTAGAAGTGTCAAATATAGTTAAAATTTTTGTTTAGTTTTGCGGTTGCCCATTTCAATCAAATGTCTGACACTTGATCAATATTAGATGTGAGTGGGGGTTTGTTGCATTTTTTATCGCTTTATTTATGATTATGCTCTGGTTTGAGTACATATCTGCTGACACCTAAATGAAAACCCAGAAGCTAAGTATTGTTTTACTTTTGGTATTTTCTCCTGGAAGAAGCATAGGAATAGCCGAACTAAGATGTCCCACCTGTCTGTAAACTTATTGAAAATTGACCTAAGCCTTGTTGTGAATCGATACCAGATAGCTCAGAATCAACTACACTTTATATTCCTTCTGATCTCCAGTTTTAAGTTTATTTTATACCTTTTGTTTCGCTAACTAGTTCCTTCTCAAATAATATTCTCTGTATTTACTCTTGTTATCATTGGTACTTCTACTAATTCATCTTATGGTGAGATGGTGTTGCAACTTAAGCTGGTGCGATGACTTGGAATTACCGACTTTTTTGCTTTTGTGTATTTACTTTTTCTCATTATTTCAAACTAATATAAACTAATACACTATTTTATGATTCCTAATCCTCTCCTTTTAACAATACACTTTCTTTAAACTTGACAATTAAAAACCTCCCATATAGGTCAAATCCAGATTATTATGAAGCAGTAAGAGAACCTATGGATTTAGCTCGTATTCAAGCAAAAATTAAGGCATGTGAGTATGAAAGCGTTGATCAAATGGCTACGGACGTTAATTTAATAGTAGCCAATACAAAAGCATTCTATCCGGCCTCAACAACTGAGTTCGCCAAAGCTGTTGAATTACAAGATGTTTTTGACCACGAGCGTCAGGTTCTTCAATCAATAGCTACCAAGAGTACTGATTCCACTACAAGTTCAACAAGTAGTAGCGGTACGTTCTTAAACTATTACAATTTTTAGTAGAATATTTTAGAACAAAAAAGAATGATTAATTTTTACCTTTCGAACACTTTATCATCATCTTACTGTTTTTATGTATATAGTTGCTCAATGTTTTTATCATTCTGTTTTAGTTACTGATAGGCGTGCAACTCGCAGGCGTCCATTCGTTACCGAAGAACGAGATGAAGAAGAGGTCTGTTGATCCTTTTCTATATATATGGTTTTTATTTTGATTGTACTGGATGCTATATAAAATAACTGATCTTACCATATAAAATTGGTTGTCATACAGTTTTTCCTCCGTATAATGTTCTGTCGTATCTTCTAATTTATTTGGTCAAATACTTCATGTATTTATCTGATATCTAGTTTTAGTCCTATGATAATTACGTCATTATTTCTGTAATTTTAAACGACAAACTAATAGAGTTACGAGACGCCTTTAACTTCATGATTGGTAATGTCTAAGCTTTATAGTGAAGGTCGGCGCTTATGATGTGGTGAAATTCAAAGTTGAAAAATTCATATCTATCATTAACAGTAACTAGCATATTTGTAATATTTCAGTGGGTAGGAAATCGAATTTGTAATCTTTTACTACGTAGTGCAAGTCTATGCTTCAGAGAATAAATAAATGACCCGATTAAATTAACAAAAGTAAGCAGCGCAGAAAAAAGCTGTAAGATATTTAATACAATCAAAACAGCCGTAATTATGTCGCAAATTTATTATTTTATTATCATAAATCATCTACTTAGTGCTTGATTTATCTCAAAATATAAAGTTCAACCTTAAATATATTACTTACAAATGCTATTAAAGGTGTTAATAACTAAAAAATGTAGAGGATTGCATAAAACCTTCCTTTTTAAAAAAATACTTTAACTCTTCGTTCACATGTACACTCGACACAGGCAATTGACATCCCAGTTAGCCTCATCCTTAAAGGGTACAATAATGGGACAAAAAATGTCGTTATTTAACCTTTATATGACGAAAACACGTACCAAGCTCTTGTAGGCTAGGCTTCTAACTCTGTCTTCTTAAGTGTCTGGTCAGTTGATATTACCATCGGAAATATCTGTCTTCAATTTATTCATATTCAAATTGAAAATCTCTGAAATTGAGTCTGTCAGCAGCATACAATAAATTAGTGAAAACAGACGTAATAAAAATTGTCAGACATAAAATAATCTCCATAGCTCTCTATCTTTAAAATAGAGTGTCATAAATGAGGTATTTTTGTCTTTTTCTTCTTGTGTATTTCCGTAGTTTGATCTAGAATCTCTTCCTTTATAGTTGCGTTCATCAAACATTGCTGAATAAAGTAATAGTAGTATCATCCTTTCTAAATATTTTTGTCATCTTTTTTTACCAATTAAATTCTTAAGGCTGAAACTTTGTCAATCGCAGCTTCAGATGATTCACGTATTGCTCCATCAGAAGTTAGCACTATCAATTTAACATCTAGTCAACCAAGTTCAACACAGTTGGATAATCCATATGAACTATTATTTGCTTCTATTGCAAAATATGTAGGCGAAAATGATCGTCCATTAGCCCCAACATTTACTCATCTACCATCTAGAGAGGTTGGTTATTTGTTGATTTATTCTTGTTTGATTAATTTATGAAAGGTGGCTTAACTGATTTTAATTGAATAATCTTTTTGTTGTGCAACTAACTGGTAGTAACATTTAGTAAAACTGAGATGTACATTCATTATTTATTAGCTATCAGGTTGTTGTTGTGTGTATTCTGATGACAGTTAAGGTCTTTAATGTGATTTATCTATGTCTTGTTCAGAATAAAAAGTCTGTGTTAGTTTATTTCCTACTTTTGTTCACCTGATGAAATGATTGTACTTTTTTCTTTCAAAACAGATGCAAACCAGTAACCCTGGACATCGTATATTGGTTATGATATAAGCACTTCTCATAGAGTCGTTGAAGAAAGTTAGGGCATTAGTCCTTGAAATCACTAACTTCTAGTCTTAACCTTGTAGGTAGATGCAGACTGCTTGGTTGGGGTCCGCGTAACTATCGTAACCAATGGTTGGAGACTTTGGGTGATATGTCTCATAATCGATCACAATGGCGTCGGTGTAGACACTCTCTGTTTTCCATTAAACTATGAGATTAAAATTGCTTTATATCTTTCTACCAACTAATTCTTTGTTCCTGTATTATATCCTTATATACAATTTTTCTTTTATATATTACCACCATCGAATCAACTACTTCTATGAATTTGGTGTTCATCTTGTGCTAATAAGGTGTGGCAACTTGGACCGATGCATGTATGTGCCTGGTCCTACGTTGTAGCTGACTGACTGGCGTAGAGTCATTTATTTATTTATTTCAACACATAAACTTTAGTTCAAGAGGGCACCAAATACATATGCGCCACACCATATTTGTGTGTGTGTGGGCTGTGATACTGCCCGGGTGCCCAGACCGAAGCAGGTGGTTTTCTTAGGGGGCCACACCCCGAGCCTTTGACCTAAAGGTCTGACCCACAAGGCAGTGGAGCATCGTGAGGAGATGTATTCCCATGGTAGCCGGTGACCAACGATTGGTTCATACGCCATTTGTTCCTTCAGGATACTGGAGCCCATGTGTGCCATTGGTTTGGGGTCCGGTTAAAGCGCCGGACGTTCGCTTTTCGTCCTCTCAATTTCGTAAACAACACCAGTGGTACTAGAAATCAGTGAGTAGGACTTCTCTGGCAGAGGGTGTATACGCGTGGCCATATGAGAGCATTTCGAGAGGGAGAGCGGACTTTCCCCACTCTAGGCCATACCAGGGCATTTGGGGGCAGAGTCATTTACTACGCAACGTAGTATAAATATTTGATTTTATGGTAACTATGTGAACAATTAAAATATGGACTGTATGCTGTTATTCTTTAATTAATCAATCTTTTTCTCCATTTCAGCTTTATCCTGTATACTACGTTGTTATCAAGGAGCCAATTGACTTAAGAATGATTGCCAGACGGATTTCGTCTGGAAAATATAATTCCATGGATGAGTTGGAAAGGGATTTTTTACTGTTAGCTCGGAATGCTAAAACTTTTAACGAACCAAAGTCAGTTATCTACCAGGTTGGTTAGAGAATTAATAATTTTGTTTTGGACTACCCGTATTTGTGTTTTTGTTGACTTTCCTTTCGCAGTCATTATGTACCAAGTAAGAACCTCATAATCCAACTAGTTTGGTTTATGGTATCATTAAAATGAACAATTCTTATAGCTAAAGGACCTCGTTTAGTTTAATAATTAATATACTCACAACTTCTAATGTCACATTTATTCTTCAGGATGCAGCGACATTGGCCAGGATTTTGAAGGGTAAACGTAGTGAAGCAGAACATCCTCCAGTTCGAACCAACCGGGAGCGTGGAAAGTAAGTGGGTAAAAGCTTTCATTTACATCGAGTTTGTTCCTAACAATATCCAACTATATTTTTTCATCGTTTGTCTTAATATACGTTTTTGTGCCACTTAGGCTTTCAGCTCATAATAATGTATGCATCATTTTTCTTTTTAAATTTAAGGCGTGCATCTCGTTTAAATTACATACCACATGAGGTTGTGGAGCAGTTTGCTTCAATGCCTGACTTATCTGATCCTCCGGACAGTTCAAGTCAAATAGATGAATGTACTGAAGCAGCTTTTGAACTTTCTGGGGATGATGAGGATACTCGAGCAACTGGTACATCTCAAAGCTGTTCATCAGTAGCTTCAATTTCCATAAAAAGAAAACGTGGACGCCCTCGTCGTAATCCCTATCCTGAAGATACAATAAAACGAAGTCCATCAAGAGAACCTCTTTCTCCAGCAAGCATGCATTCTCAGTATAGTACAAGTGCAACTGGTGAACTAGGTGGAACTAATTTACCACATTCATGTGCTTCACGAGCCCATAGACGCTTACAAGAAAAACTTTTACAAGTCGTATTGGATGCTCTTAATGAAGATGGTCAACCAATGTCAACACCATTTTTCCGACTTCCTTCTAGAAGGTGTGTGCGTAATATGTATTTGGAGATAACATTGTTCTTCAAATTCACACGTGTCATCTTTTACCATACTTAATTATTTGTTTTCGGTTTTTCGTTTCAGGTTATATCCTGACTACTATGAGGAGATTACCAATCCATTATGCCTCTCGAGTATTAAGAAGAAAATTAAGGTAATTGTTTCTATTATTACTATGAGGGATTTATGGAGATAGTAGTATTTTTACAGTTAAAATCACGAACTAATCTTAGCTAGATCATCATTGGAAACCTGCAAGCGCTGGACAGCATGGGAGTCTTGAGAAGTGCTCATCCACGATTTCAGACGTGGGGATCAAACCAATACCTTTTGTCTTGGGCACGGATGCTTAACCTCTAAACCATGAGCTCGTGATCCAACAGTGTTAATGTGGAGCATTAGTCAATCTATGATCTTGCCCAACCCCTTATCCACTGCCTGCGGTGGATAACTGTCTCACGCCAGACAGGCTGAACTCCACTGATCACGGCTCCTCACTAGAACTCCATGAGTTGCATATTGGAACTAGTCACTATTGAGCATTGGATTATTATTAATATGGGAGATTTGTGGAGATTGTTTTATTATTAATATTATCCTGTATTTTTTTAGACGAGTTGTATTGATTAATTGGTTAATGTTGGATATATTTTACGAATTGCGCCTAATTTTATGTGAATTAAATAGATCATCAATCTTATTTTATATTCAACTACTTTTTTCAGAGATATGAATACACTTCATTAGATACTGTTCTCATGGATTTAGATATAGTATTCAACAATGCTCAACAATATAATGTTGAACAAAGTGCAATACATCAGGATTCTATTCGTTTGCAAGAGATTGCCCATAAAAAGTGTATAGAACTTAAGAATTCAGAAATAGCAGTAAGTTGTTCACTTATGATAATGTTTGTTACTCCTAGTTAAAGCATCCATAACTCTTTGTCATTAGTGAAAAAATCTCATTCTAAATCTTCTATTCATATGAATCAATTTACCAGTAAATTTTCCACACTCTAGAATTATTTACCACAATCTGTCTGTGAATTAAAATCACTCCCATCTTTTGTTTGCTGCATCAATGCCTACTTCTCTGAAAATGCCTTGAATATGCTTACACATTCAAGTATATCCCATTCCACAAGTGTGATTATAGGAACTTTAAATGTTTACTCGTTTTTATTACTGAACCCACTAAATAAACCTCTCTAACTGGCATAACTTTACATTGACACCAACCCTGGAAACCTTAACTAATTTGAATAATATCTAACACGAACAGTAGATCACAAAATAACCTGGCACATATAATGTGGTAGATCTTAATGATTCATCGTAGTAGTTTTTGCTTTTGTTGTTCTGTTATTATTATTTTAACCATAATAATAATTATATTAACTAAACTCTGTCTTATGTCTGTGAAAGAAGCTAACAATTTGTATGATTATTTTCCCATTCATATTTCATAGTTGAACATTAAACCAGATAATCCAGATACAGTTCCATTCAGTCCTAATGGAAATAATCCAACTGTATCATCAACTACACTGTCAGAAGGCATAAATTATCCACAATATGATCAAACTCCACTTAGACGATCTGGACATCAATTAGTTACAGGAGAAGAGGCTACTCTAAAAAGACTGCAAAATTTATACAAAACTGTTTATTATTTTCGCGCAGTAAGTTGTTTCTTGCTTTCTTCTTACAGACATAATTTCATGTATTATATAGTTTGATTTATTAGTATTTTCCAAACTATTAATTTCTACTATCTAATTGTAATACTTTCTTCTCTTTGATCCTGTGTTTAATTAGAACGATGGACATTATCCTCGAGATACATTTGTAAGCTTACCATCAAGGGATGTACATCCAGATTATTACCAAGTAATTTCTAATCCAATAGATTTAACAATGATCAAACATAAAATGGATGAAGGAAAAGTAAGCTTTTATAAGAATTATATTATATTACATTTGTTTATTGATAGATAATTCCGTTTATTAACTGTTCATTGTGTTGAATGATGGTAGCTCAGTGATTTTCACATAATCAACTTTCAAACATTGGCTCACATGTTCAGAGTTGACACTAATCGAGTAGTTGGATAATGCAATGTCATATTGATTGTAAAATATTGGGTAGTTGGATGACAGAAGATTATAATAATCAAAATAATTACTCGAAAAGTTCAATTAAACAATTGCTACATTATATAATATCTAAAAAAATATTGACAAAATACTTTGATGAAAGGTCAGTATTGTGGTAGCTATGTAAGAATAAAAAGACAGATATTGAGAATATGTAAAATTACAAAAAGAAACTAGATAAGAAAATTGTTTTAATATTTTTGAAAAGGTGTAATCAATCCAAGTTTAGCTAAACTCACTCCTATATCGATGGGCAAGGTAACTAGAGTGGTTATACAAACTTCCTTTGAATGCAAATGTTAGATTTTTGAATGTGGATTTTGGTAGCTTCAGCAATGTACAAAAGACTAACTCTTAAACCATTCGGCAAATTTGATGGGATTTGGTGAATAATGGTAAAAGCTTTATTCATGTCACCTTGATGTCCTGTGCCCATCATGTGAGCAAGAATAGAACTCTTAGCCACTTTTACCTGTCCTTTGTTCAACCAAGATGGATAGTGTTTCGCTGTATAGTGATGGAGTTGCTGGATTTTACACTCTATATAAAACTGACTTCACAGGAGCAGTCGAATTGCTAAATACACATAGACTTAGAAAATTCAGGGAGTTCGTCTTTAGTGGTGCTTTTCATTATCGGACGACTGTATATGTCAATGTATAGCCATAATGAAAAACTAGTGGAAAGGAAATTTTACTTTATTCGTTCTTTTTAATAAATGCCAAAATGAGAATTTTCATTGTACTCGAATTTCCTCTATTGTATTTACTGTTCTGCTAAAACCCTCAAAATATAGTTCTTATTGTCTTTGCAAAAGTATAGGGTTATGCGAACAAATAGTTCCAAAAGTGTTAAACTGGTGTGCTGAACCCCTTAAGCAGGTAAGTATATACATTATATGGCTAGCAGGCAATGGGAGTATAATTCAGATAAGCCGAAGCATAAAAATCGCATATTATGTACTATGCAGTCATTTACTTCTCTAAGTCTACCACTATTTGTAATGAATTATCTGTGTTGGGGGTTCTAGAACCACAGAACTCACTTGGTTAATGTCTTATTCTTTCAATTTTATTTTTGAAATTTGGACTTGTTTTTGCTCCGAAAGCACCCATTTTCACCTTCATATTGTATTTCTTACTTGGGAGGACCTTAAATGTCATTGGTTAGTTGTCTCTTTTAATATGCTATTTTGTACCGTTCCTCAAGGACATTTTTATGCTGTATATATACGCTTGAGTTGTTACTGTTCGTGCTTCTGCCTGCTTGTGGAATACATTTTCCCTCTTCTGAATGAAGACTTCTCTCTCTTGTTGGCTGTTCTGGGATTCATCGATACAGTTAGCTTATTTGGTCATTGTGTCTCTTAGTCTTTGTTCCATTCTCAGATTTAGGTGAACTCGTAATCTCTTCAAACGTAGCAATTCGAGAACGCTTCTCTTTGCTTAATATACGTGAAATATCAGACTGACGAATTCCAACATACTTTTCTACTCCTTGTAGACTTCAAAGTTGACCAATATTAAGAAGTCTGTTAAATGCTGATAAATTTAAATATTTTTATGAGACGATTTATAAATTTTATTTTTCAGCGTATAATCAAATCTCACAATAGGTATTCTAATTTTACAGTATTTATTTTTGAAGAGATCTCTCTCATTTTCTCTTTTATTCCCGCATATCTTTCTCAGTACTCGTCACACGATGAAATGGTTCTTGATCTTCAATTGATGTTTAACAATGCTTGCAATTATAATGAAGAAGGTTCGTCAGTTTATAATGATGCAAAGCTTTTGGATTCGATTGTTAAAAAGCGCTTGAGGACTTTTGTCTCATGTAATGGCAATGTTAATCGACCAATAACTTCTCGTAGTTCACTTACTACGGAACCGTGAGTTTCACTTCTCTTCTTGCAGATGATATGGATCAAAATATTGTTGGAGGCATTTTTCAGTATAAATCTCTAAGGCCAAAGTTGTGTTACATCAAAAACAAACAGTCGATTACATACTTATGTTCTTGTTCCTTGTATTCAGACAAATAACAATTAGATCATAAATTTGCGAAGGAAAGCATGTCAGCATCGTCACCACTAACAACAAACAGACGGTGGTGATAATCGTGTAGCCTGTTATTTTAATGTGTTGATTGTGGACATGGTATGCAATAAAACAAAGGATGCCTTATTACAAACTAACCACTGTCCAGTCATGCGCATCAAAAAAGATTTCTTAGTGGTGAATATGCAAGGAAATCTTGCTACGCTTGTGCTGGGAATTCTATATTGTACCAAAATATAATATTGAATAGTGCTAATAATAATAATAATAATAATAATAATAATAATAATAATAATAATAATAATATAATCTATATCCTGTTTTATGCCGACAGTATGGTTTGTGTGAAAGAGGGAATGTTAGTCTTCACAGGTTGTTCCAAAGCTCGGTTTCTATTCTTCTCAAGGACATTGAGTCGTTATCAAATCTCTGTCATCACAATGATATAATATTTGCATATTATCTGACGCTGCGAAATTATTATATCAATAGTGTATTCAAAGCTCCTTTCACATATTGTACACATTTGTATCATGTCCCTCACTTTGTGGCTGACAGACCAACATGCACAGGTGATTTGAGCTGCTGATTCATTATTATCGCAAAAGGTTTCATCAGCGGAATTAATGTGTGAAAATGAAATCCTCGTTCAAAAATTATATTTTGTCCCAACATTTAATTTAGCCCACTCCCATATCTAATGAAATTATAATTTCTGTATAAGCGTTATTAAAGATTGACTAAATTGTTAGTGTGATTCTCCGAATGAGCTTGGATTATAAAAAATTCTAATAAACAGTTGTTTAATGTTTCATGCGTCGTAAATTCACCTTCTTTGTGCTGTCATTAACTGTGTATTGTTTCTAGTTTATGCCGTATGGGTGATCCGAAGATTTAAAACGTTGTTCAAACCCGCGTAAAATTATTCTTGTTATTTAGATGTCTTGATTTTCTCAGTTTTTTTTAATTTCATGTTTTACATGTAACAAAAACCTGGATATTTCTGTTTCATTTCAGAGGAAATCAACGTGACATAAATATTGAGTAACAGAATAGGGCAGTAATTCTTCCCTTGCCTTTAGTCTACAGACTGATTCACTCATTTTAACGAATTCACTTCATTAATTTGCGTTTATGTCATTTAACCAGTTTCCTTCATTGGTGAATTATCATTTCTGTAAATTTTTTTTTTTCATTCTCTATAAATTCATCCCAACTTTCATACTTAGTTTTTAAATTTACGTTAAATTTAGTTTAACACAACAGTTGGATGGTTCAAATATTCAATCACATGCTAGTTTAGTCAATACTGTTCCTGCTGTTCATCATCAACAATCTGGTCAACCAACTTGTTCACTCTTACAACGTGTCATGTTGGAGCTTTTTCAGGCAGTTCGTGAATATCAAATCAACGGGAGAGTTTTATCTAATCCGTTTATGCGTTTACCAACTAGAAATGAGCTTCCAACTTATTATGAGTTTATTAAGAAACCCGTAGAATTACAAAGTGTGGCTAAACAACTGGTTCAAATGAAATATACGGATTTTGAAGAGTTCGCTGGTGAACTTTTTCTAATGTTTGACAACGCATGCAGATTTAATGAACCTGATTCACAGATTTATGCGGTGAGCTTGATTTTCCTACCTAGCCACTCATTCAACTTTTTACTATCTCTAAAACTGGTAATGCATTATTAAATTTTTCTGTGATTTAGGATACACTGATACTTCATCGGGTATGTCTTGCCAAGCGATCATTATTATTGTCTGCCCATCAGCAGTCACTTTCAATACCTCCATGTGTTGCTCCTGATGTTTCTACTGGCTTACGTCGTCTGCTGACTAATCTTCATAATGCAATGTTAACGGCTTGCGATGCAGATGGTCGAGGATTAGTAGATTCATTAATAGCGGGTGATGGTACTGAATCTATGCTTACTTCAGTGACTGCAGCTCGTTTGGCTGCACTTCATCGTGCAGTGGCAGAAGGTTCTTATCATCGTCTTGATAGTCTTCAGTCAGACTGGCTTGGGATATTGGCTAGAGCCCGAATCGGAGAAGGATCTGATCAACCAGCGGAAGTGAAAAATCCTTGCCCTACTAAACAACAACGATTAGATGCTGCTGAATTAGCTCACCGTTGGGTTCGTCTTAGGGATGAATTATGCCATCGGAGATCGGGAACTCAAACTTCACCAAATAATGATTCTGGATCTGTATTACCTTCTCATGTGGTTTTGTACAGTCCTGCCTTGTCGTATACAGAAGCAGCCTTAGAACGTGATATTACTGAAGAAAATGCAAACCATAAACTTCCAGTTTATGATGATGAAAACGGAGAAGAAACTTTAAATCAACTTTCAGATGGAGAATGCGAATTGAAAGTATGCTTTTATTATTACTTTTTCAGTATTATCCAATAGTATTATAGATAATCGGGGTCTATACAGTTTTCACACTTAAACTAAGTCTCAATTTTTGGTGTCAGTTTTGCATTTTTTTGTATTCTGTGTAGCATCTTTATATTACTGTTGCCTATCTGTAACGTAGAATGTATTATATCTATGTGATCTGAATTAGTTTTTCGAAATCCTTTACAGCACTTCATCATGAGGGGTTTCGAAGATTAAGCTGTTTACTTTGTACTTATGCAAAAAAATTAAAAATTTCCACTCATAATTCAGTGAATAATTATTTTGTAATCAAATATTTCTTTAAGCATTTCGAAGCACGTGGTCAAACGTATCATGTTGGAGATTATGTATATGTCGAACCGATGCGACCCAATGTTACTCAGTGCCATATTGGTCGCATAACACGTATTAGCCGGGTAGAGCATTCGCTGTCCAAAATCGAAGAACAAATACCTGATAAAGAAGATCAATCGAAAAGGGAAAACAGTTGTGATAACATTGAATCGTCTGTGAAGGTCGACCATCCTTATACAATTAATGTTCGACTGTCTATGTATTTACGACCAGCTGAAGCACATCCTTCACGTCGAAGGCGTCTTTTAGCCGCTGAAGTTTTTCGTACAGCTCTTGGTGAGACAGTTCAAATTAATCAAATAGTGGGACGTTGTCTTGTGATGCATATTTCGCAATTCATTCGTTACAAGCCAAAAGTTAGTTAACAATTATAAACTTTGTCGTTTGTAAGAAAATATCAAAGCATCATTCACTGTTGTACTTAAAAATAACTATAAATTTCAACTTATAGATGAGGCTTGTAAACATCTATCTAGTCTTTTAACGTTCTGATGAATAGAAACGTTCAAGTTTGACCATTAGTTGGAAACGGGTACTAGGTAAGGATGGCAAATCAATTGATGACGTAGTGAAACTTCATCAGTTGAGATGGCTTGGACACGTGTTACGTATGCCCAACGACCGACTGCCTCGACGTGCGATGTTCAGTGGTATAGGAGTAGGTTGGAAGAAAGCTAGGGGCGGCCAGACCAAAACATGGCATAAGTCCATGAAGTCACTGACAAGTGGTCTGAGTCATGTCGGTAGGTGTAGACTACCTGGTTGGGGACCGCGAATTGATAGCAACCGATGGTTAGAGACCCTGGATGACATGGCTCAAAATCGTTTGCAATGGCGCAGGTGCATACACTCTTTGTGTTCTTCTAAATTCTAATCTCCTGATTCTTCCTTGTCTCTTTTTCTCTTCCCAAATTTATTTCACTGGATTATACTCTTTAAATAACATCTCCAAACCCTAATCTTCCCGATTACTGCTTATACTCTTATTACCTCTACCACTACGGGATTTGAATCGACAACTGCATCTCTGTGCTAATGTGGTGTGGCAACTCGAACTGATGTACGTACGTACGAAGTTCTACGTTGTTACTGACTGACTGACTGATTAATTTGTGATAATGATGGTGTGATAAATCCGCCATATAGATTAACAATATAACGAAGAAATAGGAGATGGAAAACGAAAAAAACACATCTGATAAGTAATAATCTAAATTCTTGCTATCAGTGTATTATTACTAACCCAGTTACCGTTTAGACAGATTTGTATATTTGGCTATGAATCAGATTTCAAGTGTGATGGGGAGCTGGCGATACTAACCGTCTACCCGAATAGAGAAGTAGGATGAGCTGGTTCTTAACCTACAACTCAATGGCTGAATTTTCGTTTCTTTAACTGTTGAGCCACCACTCTTACTCTGTTGACATAGTGAATATCTTTCGATCATCTCGGTCACTGCAAATTTATTAGCTGATATTTTCTGTACATGTACTTAAGCTCAGTTTATTTATTTATTATTTGTTGACATTAAACAGAATTACCTCTGTAAGTATATCATTAGAAAATATTCCTAGTATTCACATTTCATTCCATTTGATAGTCATTGTTTCATATCAGTTAACTAAGAGGAATAAAGTGGACTTCTGTTTTGTATATTTGCCGTGGGATGTGTATTTGTTTTTTTTGCTAGCCCTATTCATGATTTAGGTCGACAAATATCTACTTAGTAATAGTAAGTAAGTCCATTGCGGATGACTGACTGGTATATACATGTGCAAAGATGAATAATGACTGGCAGTGGAATCCAGGACGCGCGTTTCGTCTTATTTGGGACTCGTCAAGTAGATGTACCTGTATCTCATAGTTGGTGTTCACTCTGAGTGAACATCAATCGGAAGATTTAAACAAACAATACCAAGTGAATTTGGTATATATATGGTTTCGAAACATGGAAGTCAGTTTTATTTTCCGTGAAAGTGATTCTTAATTTTTATGTTTAAGAATGTTGAAATGGTGGAGATTTGCATCGTTAAATAATTTAAACATTTAATTAAAACTGCACTCCACTACACTACCAGTAGTATTTTCTAACCTGTCTTTAAATATTTTTATTTTTAATGTGTAATTGCTTTCTCTTCCATTTAGAATCTTGAAGAACGTGATGTATTTATTTGTGAATCTCAGTTCTCCATTACATCCCAGTTATTTACGAAAGTCAGGGTAGGTTAAGAAAATAATAAAGTTTGATTCATTTCTTTTTGTGACTTATGCAATATATTCTTATATTAAGGTTTATTTATTGTTTATTGAATTCACATGAAATCTGGTATAACTGGGCGCCCAAAAATAGTACGTGCTTAAGATTTGCGGGTGTGTTGGGATGCTGCTCGGGAGCTCAGACTGAAGCAGTTTGTTTTTTTCATGGGGCTTCTCCTCGAGCCTTCGATCTAAAGACTTAGGCAGAACTTCAGGAGCCTTCATTCCATGATAGCTATTGAATAAAAGTAGGTTTATGTAACACTCCTCCTCTCAACACTCTGAAGCCTATATACGTCGTTGTTAGGGAATTGGAGCTTCCCAACTCCTCTAAGTGAATCTTCTGTATTCACCAACCTGGTTTGCTCTTCGTTGTCTTATTTTCGTAAATAACCCCTTTGCATGAAGGCATAGAAGTGGACTTCCGTGGTGCAAACTACAAACACAGCTTTATGAGAACGTCTCGAAAGTGAGAGCGGTTCCTTCCTACCGTCATCCATACTAGGACATTTGAAGTCACATATATAGTGAGAAAAGAAATGCTTAGTACTTGGTTTTTACTTTCATCTTGTTAAGTCCAACTGGTTAATTAGTACTACTCACAGTGTACACAACATCTCGACGTAAGAATACGTAACATTTCGATTTTTGGCTCACAATTTTTATGAGAATTTATCTTCACATTCATAAAATTTATACCTTGCAGCAAAATGACCTCATTTTCAGAATTGTATTCTATGTATGTTTATCAAATGTGAATAGATTTATAGGTATTTTTACCAAGTTACCTAAACATTTAATAGACTTTTCAAATGAAAAAGTTGATAGATTTGTACTACTAAATACGCTGTTGTTTGAATTAGTCTATATACTAGCTTATGTTATGAGGTTTCTTTGCACTTGGGGCACGTTTTGAGACCACAATCTAAATCAATCCGAGTGCCTCCATGTATGAAATTAGTCCCTGAATTTCGGATTTAAAACGTTTTATTTCTTGAATATTATCTGAAAAAATTAGATTAAGAAAATAAGAAACCAAGGCGGCCTGCTTGAATATCTGGGCTACCTGTTCCTGCCATCTGGGTATTTCAACAAGTTATCTGTTTTCTTTTTTGTTTTAACACATCATTATGCATATTAGTCGCATAATCTATTCAGGTGCGTTTGTGAAAAGTTTACGACATTTTGCTTTACAAGTTACAAAAGAGTCCAATCAGAAACGTGGTTGCTGGAAATATGCATTGAAAAGAATATACATTATTCGGATGTCGATTCCTGAACTGCTAACATCTAACTGGCGACCACCCGATGTTTATCACAAGGGTCGTTCAATAAATAAGGAAAGGAAACTTGTTGAAATACTTTGTGCTGAGAATTCTATATTGTACCAAAAAATATAATACTGAATAAAGCCATTAATAATAATAATAATAATTGGATAGTTTCGACGAACTTCAGTTGACATACTGTTGATAGTTTATCATGGGCTATGATCTAACCAATAGCATTCCGGTAAAGGTTCCTCAGTCGGTTTATGTATTTTTTGGTAACTAATTTCGATAATAAATGTGACCGCAACACAATGGTTGAAGATACCCTTTACCATCTTTAGGTCAGAATGAAAATAGTTATACATTGATAAGTGTTCTTTAATTTACTTAATACATCCATGAACAAGTCAGAGCGCTTCATGGTTTTGTTAGGCGCACTTATCTTGAGCTCCGTTGATAAAACGGATAAGTATAAAAACCAAGTTTCTAGAGAGTGAGTTATTCGTGGTCAATACAAATGAATTTATATTGTTTCTTGTACATTTTCGCGATCAGGGATTATAACTTGTCTTATGCACTTACATCCGGCTTCTAACGCCTGTCTAATACCGCAGTTAATTTATTGACAACACTAAATCAAACACCTTGAAAATCACTAAAATTATCCTAACAGATCTTGCTATTCTCATTTGTTTAAAGTTAGTTATTACCTTATGTATTTCATCAAGAGTTTAGTTCTATTCAAGCTGTCAGCATTTGGCAACTGGAGATTAAACAGATATTACTGAAACAGATAGCGGTAACTGTCTATTGCAACATTACTCAGAGTATAACCTGTTCCTGGCTAACACTAACTTCCGGCACAGTCATTGCCGGTGTGCTACCTGGTGTCCCCCATCTACATCTCAAGTTTGTACTCAAATTAATCACATCGCGATCAACTACCGCTAGTGTGGTTGTGTACAAGACTGCCACCCCTTTCGGTGTACCTATGTGGACCCTAATCATGCACTTGTTTGCATTAATCTCACCTTACTTTTCAGTGGCTAACAAATTCATCGTCCTAAACAAATCAATGTCAGAAATTGGTTGCAGCTTCTGTTGCGACAAAATATCAAACGGAGCTAGGTTCAAGGCTAGCAATTGCATGACTCCATGAGAATGGCGAATAAAGTCGCTTGTGGCTTTGCTAAACGTTTCGCTTACAAGCACAGGGTTTCTACAGACTCCTTACCACTCATTGAAGCCCGTCGGTTTAATCCGGGTGACCGTGATTCTGACTACAAACGAGGGATGTTACGTAATGACATTGGGCGAAGCTTCCGTAAAAACTGATAAGCCTGGTGGTTGGAGCGTGCCAATGAGTTGAGAGCAAAAGCTGCTTCTTGTAACTGCGGGAGCTCTTTCAAGTCATTCGAGTTACTAGCAGCAAGAAGTATGGTGTGAGCAAAACAATCTGTGAAGATGACGGGATGCCAATGACTAACATCTATCGGTGTCTTGGATGGTGGTCAGAGTTTTTCGGGGGGCAGTTCAACTGGTCTGCTGGCCCGTCAACGTCGATCAGACTGTTCTACCTCGATGCGCGTGATGACTGTTCCACCTATAACGAGTAGGAGATCCGCGAGGAACTCCAACTCTTGAAGTGCCACAAATCACCAGGTTCAGATGACTACCTTCGGGGACCTTCTTACTAAGAAGCTGACTGGATTGTTTAGGAATGTCAGGCGGTTGAAAAGTGTTCGAATATCGTGGAATGAGTCGATTGTTGTCCTTGTCTTTAAAAATAGTTCACGTCATTTACGCAACAGCTATCGGTGGTAAGTCCACTCCGATTGTGTCGAAACTATTGCTTTCCATCATACTTTATAGATTGTTCAAAACTCGAGAAAGATTGACTTGCGAGAAGCAGGCTGGTTTCAGTTCTGGTTGCAGATGTATTGATCTTATCTTCACTCTCAGCCAAATGTTAGAACACCGTCACACTTATCACAGGCCAACAATCATGATGTTTCTTGATACTAGGACCGCCTTCGATTGGTTGGACAGGACTATTTTCTGAGGTTTTCTAATGAAGAAGGGTGTGCCTGAGAAGTTTATTAACATCCTAAAAGCCCTATATAAAAACACACCAGGCAGAGTGAGGGCATACAACCACCTCTCTCCATTGTTCCATTCGAGCAGTGGGGTTAGACAGGGTTGCCCAATCTCACCATTCCTCTTCAACTTCGCCATCGATGACATTCTGGAAACAGCTCTGATGAATGTAAGTAATGGTGGTGTGGATCTGATGCCTGGAGAAAAACTTTTGGACCTTGATTATGTGAATGATGCTATCTTACTCGCGATGATACCTAAGCCACGCAATCCGCACTTAATGAGTTGGCAATTAGTGTCCGTATGTATGGTATGTGCTTTTCACATTCCAAGTGCCAAACGCTTTTACAGGACTGACAGGACCCTGATCCTGTACTCACCATGGGTAGTGAGTGGATAGAAGTAGTCGAGAATTTCGTGTATCTGGGTAGCTGTGTAAGTGTTGATGTTTGCACGAGTTATGAAATCAATTCAAGTATGGTGAAAGCCAGAGGAACCTATGCCCATCTTTGGCGCTTTCGTGATGTTAGTTTGGTAGTAAAATGTCGGATCTACAACGCTTTGATGAGGGGAGTTTCGATCTATGCTTGTGAGACCTGACTTCTTCAATCACAGAATGTTAGATGACTCTCTGTGTTTGATCATCGTTGTCTCCGAAGGATTACTGATACCCGATTGCAAAATCATGTTTGTAATGTGAAACGTTCAGCATCGTGTGTTCGGACAGAGCGTCGATAATTCATCTGGTGTCACTATATTGGAACATCGACTTGTAACTGATTTCGGTGGGCTGGACATGTCTTACGAATGTCGTCCCACAAAATTCCATGTCGCGCATTATTTGCCGACGTTGGGACTGGTTTGAAAAAGCGAAGAGGCGGTCAGTATGACATGGTGTTATGGTATAAAAGCTGTACAGGACTGATTTCTGTTGGTCTGTCTGTCTGTGTGGTTGGGATCCTAGAGATGCTGCGACACAGTGGCCGTAAATGGTATTAGACATCGTTCGGCATAGAAGTCAGATGGAGTACTTCATTAGTTTTATTTTACTTCATATAAATGAAAAGAACTTTGACTGAAAAAATCTTTTCTTGTATTTTTCCTAACTAAACTGCTTCTCCCATTATTATTATTATTATTATTATTATTATTATTATTATTATTATTATTATTATTATTAATCATAATTTCAATTTCACATTAATTTCTGCTCATTGTTGCTCTTCTTTTATTATACTCACCCGCCATTCTCTTTATCTTCACAACCTCAATTTTGTTGTGTGGTACATGTGTATTCGGTTTCCTCTTGTACCAATATTTATGTCTCAAATATTTTTTGTACATTACAATTTTTGTTTATAGGACTGGAATATTCCACTTCCGACTGGTATTGAATTAGAAGCTAGACCTACTCCATTTGTACCAACACGTTTACCTCCAAATGAACCTTTAGGAAATGCCTTAGAACAGGTTAATAACAGTTTGTTCGTTCAAATGCATTATCCTTTGCCTCAAACTTTGAAAGTAAGTATTTCATTTTTTGTCGAATCTCATCATTTTCAAGCAATAGTTTTGTGCATAAAAAAATTTAAATTATTAAAATCTAATTATTAGTGAGGTTTCAGTTAAAAATGACAAGTCACTAATTCCATAGCCTTTTTGTTTCATTGTGTTTATTTAAAGTGTGACAATTTATGATTAATGCACATTTGGACCAAGTTTCATGCCTTTTCTGACTGACTGATTTTGTAACATAATATTGTTTACTTGTGATACTGATGAAATGAACTGTATTCATAATATTCCGAATAGAATAGTGAATAAGAAGTAATTATTTAGTGTATTGTTTCAATATATAGGTGTTTATATATATTTTTGATTGTCTTATTTTTTAATATTTGCAATAGTCCATTGTTCTTGAGGATCTTACTGAAACTGAAGAAACTGTAGTTTATGAGCAATATGTTCATGAGAATGGATTTTCAGTGAAACTGGGTAAGTGATTAATAATAAAACTTGATTAATGCTGCATTTAGTTTATGTATTCCACCCATTCACCTAATAATGTTATATATATATATATATATATATATATATATATATATATATATATATATATATATATATATATATAACTATAAACATTCAGAACGGTAGTATGATCGCCATGATCTCTCACTCCCACTGAGAAATTCTATACCACTTTGATCTCTATTTTAACGTTGTAAATGAATCCTAATAATAGCTACAGTAAAGTAAATGCTCAGAATATAAACTATTATTTTCAAATGATGTTAAGTTTAAGCTAACTATAAAATGTCATACAGATGTTTTTTTGAAGTTCTATTCTGAAGTAAGTTCATTCATGTTATTAACAGTTAATTGCTACGTGTGGCGCGTGTTGATAAAGATAAATGCGAAGGTTTAGTTATGTGGATAGAAGAATTATTAAGGGGTAATACAGGGGTTTGGACATCAAGTAAATGATCTTGTGTGCTGATAGAGGTATGGGTGCGGTTTTCTCTTTCAGACTGCCCATACCATGGAAGAACATTTTCTTTAAAGGGACCTGAAAAGGAAGCTGAATTAGTGGCGATCCAAAAAACTTAGAAGCGTGACCTCAGAGCCCAAGAGACAACTGCCTGAGGTCGTTTGCACATGGCCTTTTTATGGGAAATTTTTGGTGAATTAGCTTTAAATTTCATAAGAACTACCTCCTAGAAATGAAATCCGTGGGGTAAGATGTGGTGTGACATTTTCAAAGTCGACCTTTTCTAACCCCTTCCTTCCATCGTGAAGAAGCAGCAGATGCTGGTTTTCAAAAGGAAACACCTCACTTCTGTTACACCTATATACAGTCAGCAGTACTTCTTCGCCCTCGGGCCTTAAGTTGCTTCTTTTAGTCTAACCGTTCTTCAACAGACCTGCTTGACATGGTAGGACTTAGAGGAATATATATTCCAGCCAACATTGCTCAGTTGAGTGACCAAAATAGGCAAGTTCTATCACTACGTCAATATGGCGGCTGCGGTCAGGACTCCCCAATGTAGTGTAGGAAAAAACAGTTTCTTCCCCCGTTACAACAGATTGTCATCACTTGGTTGAAAAACACAAATGTGAAATGCTGCACAATCAGGTTTTTCAGTAATCTGTTTGCACCTGAAAATAATGATGTTGAACAGCCTCTATCAGTAAGCGTTCAAGATATAACTTTCTGCTAGCTTTAGAAAAAAGAACTGCGCTTATAAACACCCATAACTATTGCTCATATTAGTTTTTTTGCTTCACATTAAAAAATATGTCTGTTAATTTTACCATTACATTGATTTCATGTAACTGTGTTCCCTTGATTTGGACATAAAGGCGATTTTCTATATGTCCCCTCCACTAATGGATCTTCTGAACGTTCTATTGTGCGAGTCGACAAGCTATGGAAATCCTGCGCGTAAGTTACCAAAGAAATAACTATCACTCTATAGTGTTTTCAGATATTTATGTTTTTTAAAATTTCTGTTGCTAAAACTGTATATTTCCACGAAAATCTTGGTTTAAATGTGCTAGCAAATGGGGCAAGATATAGATACTATATTCAAAGCAAAGTCTCGGGAATATCGACTGAAGTAACAATAGAATAATCTAGCAGAATGTGATGTATATTATCCCAAGAATGTTTAGAAGACTTAGTCTGAGCGATTCTCTAAGCATCTGAAGGATTTCAATATATTTCTCTTTTATTTTGTATTAATCAAATGTTAATAACCAGCTATTTTCAAATATTCTAATTTTTCGTCAATAATTCTACTGTTATCATCTCCCACAATGTGTTCTTTATTTAATCTAAATTCTCTAGTTTTTTTTAAAAACATATTTGATAAAGCGAGATGCTTTTTAATAACTCTTCATACTATATGATGAAAATACTATGCTTTAAAAATGTTAAAAAGATTTGCTCCATAGATTCTTGTAGTGTCTAGTAGTTTTGTAATCAGAAATTTTAGTAAACTAAACGTTTACAAAGTTAATTTCTTTCAAGATAACTGTATGTTGTGATATTAAGCTTGGTTTATTGGTGATCATTTTGACGTAAAATAGTACATTATTAATACTCGCTCATCATTCCGTTTGATCTTACTTCAATTCAGCAACTCTGATTTCATGCAAAACTCATTCTTCAGTTTGAACATCTAAATAGTATCCCAGATTTGTACACCATAAATGTGACACAAGTTTAGTGCACAGATATTCACTGGGTTGATTTCTTTTAAGTTTTTATCTCCAAAAATTTTGTTCATCTAACCAAAACTGTTACTCATTTCTTTTAAATTTCAGTCAAAATGCTATTTTATTTACTGGACCATGGTTCGTTACTTCATCTTCAGTAGATCATTTACCAACACGTTTATTTTATCCTAAAGAAGTATTTCTTACTGGGGCTGATCATGCTACTCATGCGCTTGCTTCAGCTACAGGGAAATGTTATGTTATGCGCCCCTGTGATTACTCCCAGGGTAATTAATTATTAGATGATTTATTTTTCTGTTGATAATAATCAGTAAAATAATTATACTAGTAAGCGATTAAAAGTTTTGAAGTTACGTTTCTTGATTTTTTGGACTTATCGAAAAGAAAAACATATAGTCTTGAAAAAACTGGTTCTCACTGGTAGGTTCGAACACATGTCACTCAGTCTCACAGTTTTAAACACGAAGACAGCTATTCGCACCACACTTGACCTGCAAGACTAACAGGTATTTGCCGAGTAGCGACCATTGTCACGTTTGTCTAGCTCTTTTTGTTGCCGCTCAAATTCTATCTGTCAAGGATTCATATTCCATATAACTAATATTGTGTTCATCCACTTTATAAATTAATACTGTTTTCATGGAATTCATATGTTACTGGAGTTCAATTGTGTTGTGTGTGAGACAGTTACTCACCGAAGACAAAGAAAGGTAGTTGCACAATATCGTGGATTGGTTGTGTTTAGATGTTAACACCATTAGATCCGGGCTTGATGGTCTAAAAGTAAGGCGTCCGCATGAAGTAGAACGTCCTGGGTTCGAGACCCGCCTGTGCGTTTGTGGATGCGCGCTGCTGAGCTGCTCTATATTAAAACGTAGTGGCCGCCCGTTACTTCCAGGTTTTCAACGGTTGTTTAACATTGATCGGTTCATGATCTCATTATTACCATTTTGTATTATTATTATTATTACTATTCATTTGTACTGATAACGAATGATTGCAAAACAACTTAACGTGCTGTGTTTTAGCTCGCCCACTGAAATACCGGAGCATGATATTTACATGTGTGATTCAAAATATTTTGAAATTGAGAAAGTAATTCGTAAACTTAAGAAAGGATTAAAAGTAAGTGAACAGTTGTAACCCCTATGTAATTTAATTTAATTTAATTAATCTATATTATAAGACTGATAAGCTCCTCTTGAGGTTTACTTTGTACACTATTGGAAACATGATGGGTCTTTTCATTAAACGATTAGATCATTTATGTAAGTTATTTCTGAAAATATTCTCATGGTTTGATAGTTTGCGTTTCAATTTTCCTGAAAGTATACAACAAATTCATGCTTTCTGAGTTAGTATTTTTGTTGCTCATGTTAAGTGAGAAGTTTTCTTTGAATTATGAATTTAACTTTTATATACCTGTATTTTATTGCTGTCATAGATTATATCCTACTTCTATAACTATAATATCTAGTTCTGGCTGATTGGATGTAATCCATAAGATACTCTTGACCTAGATGTCATACTAATTGGTACCTATATGGTGTGTGAGGTAACTGGTACTTCCTGGCAGATTTGACCCTTTGTCACTTAGTTTCATGGTCTGAAGTGTTATCACTTAGCCATCCAAGTCAAGTCACTTGGACTAATTTGGATATTCCAACTTGGTTGATATGATCCGATCATCACTACACGGAAATTAACAAATACGGAACTGGTTACTATTCACCTATCAAGCAACTGTATCATAATTAGTATGAGCTTTGATCACAAACATTCAGTGATATGCGTTTAAAGTTCAGTTTATCGGTTCAAATTATATTGAAACTCGTGTCAAGTATTTCATTTATATGACCAAATACAAGAGATATTGCATACTCTTTATGCGTGTTCACCGGGTAAGTAATAGTGAGGTTAAACGCAGGGTATTAGGTAATGATGGTAAATCAGTTGATGAGGTTGTGAATCTTCATCGCCTGAGATGGTTGGGCCACGCGTTGAGTAGGCCTGAACACCGATTACTACGACGTGCAATGCTAACCGGTGTTCGGGATGGTTGGAAGAAAGTTAGGGGCGGCCAAACCAAAACGTGGCATCAGTGCTTGAAGTCACTAACTTCTAGTCTGAGCCATGCTGGTAGATGCAGACTACTTGGTTGGGGTCCGCATGACTATCGTAACAAATGGTTGGAGACTCTTGGTGACATGTCTGAGAATCGATCACAATGGCGTCGGTGTATACACTCTCTATCTTCCCTTAAACTAAGAGATTAAAGTCGCTTTATATCTTTCTTTCTACGAACTAATTCTTTCTTCTTGTACTATATCCTTATTGCGATCTTTCTTGTGTATATTACCACCTCTGAATTAACTACTTTTATGAATCCGGTGTCCATCTTGTTGTGTTAATGAGGTATGGCAACTTGGACCGATGCATATATGTGCCTGGTCCTACGTTGTAGCTGACTGACTGACTTTATGCGTGTTGCTAGCTTTTAAAGTTCAGTATATGAACGCGATGTATGTCAAAATTTATATATTAAGCAAATTTGTAAAGCTGAAGTTTTACTCATTTATTTATTGTTTATATTTGTAACTTGTCTGCAATTTACGACCTGATAATTGTACTTTAAAGTCCTTTGTTCATTACTTTTGCTTAGAAATTTCAATTTACATCAAACAATATACATGAAGATGAATTTTATTTCTTTCCCCAACAAATCATGCCTAGAAAAGTAAGTGCACGCCCCTAACATTTCACTTGAAACTTCAATTTGAATTTATTTCTTCATTATTAATGCTTTTTTCGAAATAATTAGAATAGAATACTATTCATTTTCGTATTGGTCGTTTGAATCTTCTCACTGATGTTTAGGACTGCAATTTATCACTAGCTGACTGGATAATGCAATGGCGTTTGAAGCTAACGACACTACGTTCGAGTCCCGGAGTGATCATGAACTATGGGATGCTGCTACGTCCAGCTGACGAGTCCCAAATAGGACGAAACGCGCGTCCTGGATTCCACTTCTAGTCACCATCATCTCTGTTCATAATAAACCATAACGCTTATGTATTGGATAATGATTTTAGCTTACAGTTTCAATTTTTCATACTCTTAACATGTTATGACGATTTATTGTGTAACATTTAAAAGCGTCAACTTGTGGAGTAACTTCTTAATCACTGCTTTCATTGATTGTGTTGACGCTACTATATTCGATCTCTTTCTAATCCAATTTAAATGGCTGTATAGTTTTCATATAATGAGCGTTGTTCATAGTATACTACATGAACCTTAATCTGATAGATTAATAGCATAGTTTAATTAGACCTCAAAAGTTTTCTTTTTTATGCCTGATTTGTTGTTCATATCATTCTCATGGTCTTATTAAGTTATTTTTCAGTGGTTATTTTAGTGTATTTTGTTTTGAACTTTAATGTTCGTGTCATGATGAATAACGTGTGTTGTCCTTTTAATTTAAATTTCCTATAGGATGCATCACCTCTTTTGGCCCAAGCATCCACTGAACCACTTCAGAATGATCAATTAAATCGTCCAGTGTCTCTGGCATTTACTTGCGCACTTGCAGCAGCAGCCGGAACTACTACCAATATGGTTGCTGCTCCAATGATTTCTCTTCCCAACTTATCACCTGTTGATGCAGCGAAACAAACTGACCGTATACCTACTGGATTAATAGGTGAAAGCTCAGGATCTAGTCCACTTACAGGACACAGTACAAATCCAGTAGTGGGTCACACACCAGTTAACGTTTTACCTACCAGTAATAATGCATTAGTTCATGGTATAACTTCATCAGCTCAACTCGATGCGCTTACTCGTGCTTTCATTGAAAATAACGTAGATCGTACAGGTAAAAAGGTATGTTAGTCATTTTATACTCTTTGTAGAGTTCCAACATTTGTGAAAGTTTTATTTAGCATAAGGAGTTCTTTGTGGAATCATAATCTCAAATTATTTTGTCATACTAGTCGAAATCAGCTCAATATTTGGAATTTTGGACAGTAATATTATGATCTGTTGACTTATTATTATTATTATTATTATTATTATTATTATTATTATTATTATCTCTGGTATTTTCTACTCTTTAAAATAATGAACTACTTTTATCGTTACTACAAACCTTTGCTCCACAAATCAAATTTTAAGATATTGTACATTGTTTTGGTTTCATAATCCAGGTATATTTCCTTCATTCGAACGTAAATTTTATATTATAGATTATGATCAGGTTTTTCTTCATTTTTTTCTCAGAGGAAAGTCCGTAAACCACCATCGGGTTATGTTTTATACGCTGGTGAAATTAGAAAGAAGTTATTACAAGAACGACCTGATGCTCCATTCGGCGAAATATCTCGTGAAGTTGGTCTTCTGGTGAGTGGTTGTGTTAAACCTATCATTACTGTTTTCGTGCTTAACTTCTGACTCTTATTGTGTATCAAAATAGCTTACAAACATGTTATTTGATATCCTAACATCGAAATAAATGACCTGAAAGGTTTCATTGTGTTTTTAAATGCTATCAAAACTGTCGAAACACTTTAAAAATGATCTTTATCTTTGGTTTATTTTGAATTATGCCCTATGACAAACTATCCATACTTTATGACGGTGACTAGACTTACACATAGTTTCTTCTGAATTGTCTTGTGTATTTTTAGTAATTTCTAAATATGTATCGCTTTAAATATGTATACATTAACTGTAATTTTGTATTTCTGTTTTTATTTCATGTTCATTGTTCGGACTACATGCATTATGTCAATCCATGAATGTTAGCACCAATTATTGTGTCACTGCAACACATTGCATCCTTGTATATTTACTTTCCATACTAATTTTTCTGTTATAGTTCTGAAATAAGCCAATATAAGTACCAGATAGTAGCGAAATATGGTCTCTTAGTTTTCATTTGCATTTTGGACAATCTCATATTTGCGAAAATCGATATATACATATAACGCAGTGTTTGTAAATACAGTATTTCAAGTTATCTCTAACAGAATAAAGTTTAGTGTTCGATATCTCATCTCTAATCTTTAAGGAAATAAGGTCGTCAATCTCAGTTAAATTATATTTTTCTTATTTTATAATTATGTAGTGGCGTCAAATGCCCACTGCTCAACGTGATTTATATGAACAAAAGGCTCATCTAATTAGACAACATATGGCTGAAGAAGAAATGCAAATGAAAGCCAGAGAACAAGAACAAGTACAACTTCATATTCAACAGCAAATAGCTGCTACATGTATTTCATCACATAACATTAGTGGAACAATACCTCTTCAGTCTTCTGCTACAGCAATTAATCCGTCAACTTCATCTAGAATGCCTGTCACTGCTACAGCTGCTACTATGCAGTTTTATCAAACACCGACTGGTCAAGTCATTCAAATTGTTCATGCCTCCTCAACAACACCTAGTGTAGTTGGGCATAATGCTTTGCCAGCTCAAACAGTTACTACATCTCTTGCTCAGCCTGCTAATATTGTTCAAACTACATATGCGACAATACCTGCAATTGCCTCGGCTTGTCCAGTTGCCACTCCAACTCATCAGGTCAGCTCACTTCAATGTATTTGTAATGTTTAACGTTTGATTCTGTCAGTTTTCAACTTTATAATTAGATCAGTGAATTACGTTCACTTGTATGGAGACAAAATGAGAATCTTTTTTAGAGTGGCAAAATGGATTTCAAAATTTTCAGTTCATAATGAGTCATCGTTACAGATGAAATTGTCGAAGAAGATAATTTCGAATAATCTCATATATAAACCAGATACCTGAATTGGTAGTTTGTGCCATTTTATTGATTTATTGCGATACTATTCTCATTTTCACATAGGAACATATGTCTTATTAACACTTATTAACATGGTTTCATATTTCCCCATGATGCCTCGCTATTTCTGTTGTGTATGTTATCTGTTGGAGTTCATAAAACGTTTTCAGGGTTCGTGTGTGATGTATAGCTTAAGAATGCGTATTTTCTCATGTTTCTTGTTCCTTGTTGTCTGTATTGAACATGTGACAGGTTGTTTATCAACTTTCGAACCAACAACATGGCATTCTTTCAAATGGAACCGTCGGTTCTGGAACACCACAACAACCGTTTTACCAACCTCAACTTCACCCACAAACTCAACAACAGCCGCAACGGGTTTTGGTTGCATCTAGCGTGTGTTCTACACCCACTATAATGGGTACTGTTATTGGATCAGGAACTACTGTACCACCCGTTCTACCTGTGGGCACAAATACAGGTCCTTCTATGCCTAACGTTCAACAGGCCCAGATACTTTTAGGTTCAACGGGGTCTGTATCCTCAACAGGGTTTCCGGCTTTAGCACAAGGTGGTTTAGTAACAACGACAACTCCGACATTAAATCAACCTCTGTTACACCAGGGAGTAGCTGTTGCGGCCGTAGGTGCTCCACATATTGTTCAACCACCTGGACCAACTTTGGGAGCTTGTTCTCAAGATTATGCGCCACAAGTACAACCGCAGTATCAGTTGGTACAACAAGGTAATTTTTTGTTTTCTTTCACCTTGAGGTGCTCGCAGTTGTCTTCGTTTCATTCACTTTTTTACTATTTGTGTCAGTTTTTCGCCCTTAGTAAGACTACTTCTTAAATATTGTCTCTTCAATAGCAGTCTAAGTTCTGTTTTCATTATTTCCATATCTGTTATCCATTAATCAATATAAAATCAACTTTCGTAAGTGCTAAATAATCTGCGCATTGTATTTATTCTTAGCCCTGTACGTTTGTCCTATCTCTTAGCTTCGACTTTCCATTTACTTTATTTTCTGTAAATTTCAAACAACTATATTTGTGATATTTTTTGAAACTTCAAATCTATTAGCTTTAACTCCAATGTTCAGTGAATGAATTCCACGGTAAAAATGAAATACTCGAAGCCTTTATATTAGGTTTTTTTTAGACAGTATTGTCGCTTCTATTTGTTGGACCTCATTTAAAATGCAGATGTTCGTATGAATTTTATTCCATGTTAGGAAAATAATTGACTTGTTTGAAAATTCTTCTATCATCATTGTTTAAGCGTCAAAGATAAAATTTTAACAACATGTAGGAAACATTACTTATTATTGTTGTCTCTTTTTATTTTGTAACTAATATTTATACAATCATAAGTTTTCTTGTGTTCCATACCAAAGCTGCCTGTACTAATTAATTGCAATTATCGATTTTCTAGTTCCTCAAAGTCAACCAATCGCTCCGAATGTAATGGCTTCTGTTTCAGTTGTTCCAGGAACACAATTCATTCAATCTCAACCCCAAACCATTCCGACTCAACCTCAAACGGGCCGCCCATCTTCACCAATGTTTGTATCGGTTCCACCTCGAACTTCTCGTGTACTTCATTCTGAAATTTACCAGCGGTAAGCGGGGACATAAGAATGCTAATATCATTGTAGCCAATAACAGTATAATGCTCATCTTTCGGATGTGCACTAAATAATTGGCAAATTATGATGCGATACTCTGCATATCAAAGCATGTATGACATTGTGTGATCTCATGAACTTCCAGTTAACATTTTATTCCTTCAATTAAACAGTTATCTCCTGGAATTTCAGTTGTTAGTACTGAGCTATTCAAAGTCCTATCTGAAGTCACATACTATCAATTTATTCATGAGCGTTTAGTTCCATGTCTGCTATCTATTGAATTCACTAATTAGTGATACTAATGTAGAATGATCGAAAGTCTCTACAATTTGAATCTAGATTGATTTTCTGTGAATATAGCTCATAATAAAACTAGGGGTTCTTTGATTACGGATGCCATTAGTTAACTACTCCCAGTATAAGTAAATGGGGTAAATATTTGATTTGTCACAGTTCATTCATATCTCCATTTTTTAATATATACCACATCACCATATCGCATTTCGTTCATACCAAGTGAACATTCTCGAAATTTCCGATCAAACCTACTTTATTCATAAATAATGGTGAAATACTTATTCAGTCATGTTTTAGTTTGTCTTGTTCCGTTTCTTCAAAATAATGAAGTCCAGAAATCATCAATATAATAAATAATATTAACAGTAGTTGTAGTATCATATTTCATGTAATTTTGTAAACACACATGTAATTTGGAGACTAATGTTGGTTTAGGTTAGTATCATTTCAATATTCAATTCATAATAATCCCAGTTACATCACTATAAAAAAAGACAAGGTTTTTTTCCATTTCAAGTTATTTTTTATTGATGTATATGTTTAACAAAATAACTTTTGATAATTTTTTGTTGCATTTCCATATTACAGTTACATTAGTCGTTTACGTAAGAATGCTCCAGGTGGATTAGGTGATTGGCATAACCAATTGTCAGCTTCTCTAGATACAGCTCCACCAGTTCAACCAAATATAGCTAATCAATTAATAGGAAATTTCTTTACTGATCCTAAAAAGGTTCAAAGTTGTTCAGTAACTGAAGCATTATGGAATTTACGTGATTATTTATTAGAGGATGCTCTAAAAATTCGTTTACGTTGTTTAAATGCTGCAGAATGTTAATAATCAAATGTCATTTTTGTAATGATTAACTATTGCATTTCACTTTTTATCGTTACGTTTTTTTTCATTTTTCCAACATAAATTATGTGCATGTATAACATTATTTATTAATTGTACTTACTGGGTGAATTCATAATGTGTAACATCCATTCATCTTTTGTGTCATTATTTAATGAATATTTAATGTTTTCTTTTAATAAAAAATGTGTTGTCTTCATATATATTTATTTGACTAGTATGTTAAAAGAGTCTACAAGATTGAAGCAAAGAATCGACTGCATTTATCAAACATTTTCTGGCTTCTGGAATCTGCTATTATAGTGAAATAAATAAGTATTTTTTGTTTTGTTTTGAAAGTGATGATATCAAGTTGTAATTACACTTCCGAAGCATACTATAATTCTCATTGTTTATCATGAATCTTCCATGAAATAAATTGGCTTTGTGCATAGAATACTTCAGCATAATCATTTTTTTTCATTCAGTATATTTTCTTAAACTGTACATTTTCATTTACGACGTGCAATGCTAACCGATGTTCGGGATGGTTGGAAGAAAGTTAGGGGCGGCCAAACCAAAACGTGGCATCAGTGCTTGAAGTCACTAACTTCTAGTCTGAGCCATGCTGGTAGATGGAGACTACTTGGTTGGGGTCCGCATGACTATCGTAACAAATGGTTGGAGACTCTTGGTGACATGTCTGAGAATCGATCACAATGGCGTCGGTGTATACACTCTCTATCTTCCCTTAAACTAAGAGATTAAAGTCGCTTTATATCTTTCTTTCTACGAACTAATTCTTTCTTCTTGTACTATATCCTTATTGCGATCTTTCTTGTGTATATTACCACCTCTGAATTAACTACTTTTATGAATCCGGTGTCCATCTTGTTGTGTTAATGAGGTATGGCAACTTGGACCGATGCATATATGTGCCTGGTCCTACGTTGTAGCTGACTGACTGACATTTTCATTTAATTGTCATTATTTTTGATAAATAATGGCAAGAAATTTCATATAGTTTGCAGTAAACAAAGTCAGTTATAAACAACATAGAATAACTTGCGACATATTTGCATCATTTTAAGTTACTATACCATATCAATATAGCGAGATGAAATAATAAAGACATACAGAATTGTAGAATCATGAACAGTATCGATGGTTGTAGAAAACATTAAGCGTGGATAGTATAATTTGAGAAGGAATAAATGTTGTAAGTTTGATCAGGAGCGAATTCGAACTAGATATGACGATTATTTTGACTTGAACATTCCTTTGAAATTGCAAAATCCTAACGTGATAGTAAACTAAATGGGTGAATCCCTGCGATCCCTCTTCAACACTATGCCTCCAAAATTCCTGACTCAGGCACAAACTATTGTGGTGTGTACTACTTGTACGGACAGATTTAAATAGTATGTATCAGGGATCGGAAGTAGGGTTCTTTGGGATAGAAGAGAAAGAAAAACGGAAAGCATTCGGATGCAAGAACGATAGAGTTTTAAAGGGACAGCTCAAGGAAGACGTGCAAATGTATTGTTTTCGTATTTTATAAATGCAGTGTATGTTCTTGCTTAATACAATAAATCCGTTTACTCTTGCTGAGTATTCGTTCATTAAATTAAGAATGAGACAAAATCTGTTTGGCAAAAGACATGTATTTTTTATAAAAAAGATAGCACTCTTGATATAGAGATACTTTTCTATTAACTAATAGATACATTTAAATCACTGTGATTTCCTCAATGTCCTACATCCAGAGTCTTTCCTGATTTCATTTTCAAGTGGAAGCTGACTTGTACGTGGGAGATTCCACATCTCCCAGAGTTTCTCCATAATGTGATTTGTTTGGTGTTCTCTGCGTTGTATTTGAGGATGTTGTTTTTCTCCTTGTGTGTGTTGGGGTCTACTCATGTAGAGGCTTCCGCTACACTGGTTGTCTTGACCTTGATTAGCTCGTGATTAAAACTTCCTGGTACCGATAGTAGTGTGATGCTTCTGTAGTTCTCACATTTGCTCAAATCTTTTCTCTGGTTTCCTGATGAGGTGTTGTCCTCTCCAATCTGTCGGGACTTGTTCTTCCTTCCAAATCTTGAGTAGAATATGGAGCATCTTTGCAGTTACTTTTATATCTGACTTCAATGCTTCATCTGGTTTGTTGTCAGGTCCTGTTGCTTCCCCGCTTTTGATTTGTATGATGGCCATCCTGAATTCGATCATTGATTTAGTGAAAACTATAAGAATATCTGTGTGTGCTGCTTTGATCTGAAGCTCTGCCATCTCCTCTCCTGGTTCTCACTTCTTTCACTGACCTGATTCTTTTAGCAATGTAAATATAATCTAACTGATTTTCTGTATTATAATCCGATGAGACCCATAAAGATTTGTGTATGAGTTTGTGAGAGGGACATTGTACCTCCTATAACCATTATGTTGAGGTCATATAGAGTTGCCAATCTATCACCATTCTCGTTCATTTCTCCCTGTGACTCCATGTCATCCCATGATATGTTCATACCCAGTGTTGTCCATTCGAACTTTGTTATTTAGTTTTCACATTAGAATGGTGATGTCCTTTCGTTGGCACTTCGCTATGATCGACTGCTGCCTCCCGTAAATCTGAAGTTTATGATCGTTGTTTGGTGTATAATATAGGATAATATTCATTGTAATGCATTTCTTTGTTTTGAAGAATGCTTTGATGATTTTCGATCCACGTGCTTCCCATCTTATAAGTGCCCTTCGTACTCCACTGGACAACATCAAGTCAAATCCCTGTGAATGCATAGTATTTTCTTCTTCATGACCATATTATAACAACTCTGTCGAATCTAGTCTTTTCTGTCCAGCTTGTGTCTAATGAGTTTCACTTATTCTGAGAACCGCCATATTGTATCTGTTCATTTCCACAGCTATTTATTTTCCCTTCAAATTCCCCACATTTGCTCGAACATTCTATGTACCTTTATTAATTATTGCTGTGGTTGTTAGGAGTGGCATCAGTCCCATGACTTATGAAGAATACCGGATTTCACCATGAGGCGTAATATTCCTTCCTTCAACTCGGAGAACAGAGTTCAAATGGTCTTATTTGTTTATTATTGTTAGCAGTTTTTAGCAAGTTTGTTTTGTACGGGATGGGGATTCTAACTCCATGCTCAACCCTCCTCGTTTACCTGAGCTTGTGACCTTCCGTAACCCTAGTAGAGCTACAGGTGGTGTTGTCATACAACAGAATATCATACCGAAATAAATACTTGCATATACCTAAAATTCGGTTAAGTAATCAAGTTGATTAATTTGTATTCTCACTTTCGATCGCTTCCCATCATAAAGGTGTGAGATAATTTTAAAACTGCAGATCTAAAGTGGGTTTACGAAATAAGTTATTGTACATATAAGCTGTGTCTTATTTCTTTTCAGGTAACAGGTGAGTCCTATTGAAAGCTGGCAAAGCTGTGTAGTTCTCGGTTTTCCATAACTACAACTGTTGTTCATGGAAATTACTCTTCGATAGTACTAACTCTCTGTGAAACCACGTTTACAAATTTCAATCGTGCAAATTAATTTGTTCTAAAGTTTAAAACTACTTTTCTTTGATGAAAGTAGTAAGATATTATAATGCACACTAAAGTATTATGAAAGCCGTTGGCATTTAACAGTTACATTTTAAAAAGAAATACATCAAATAATACTTGTGAGCCTTGATGAGATGTAAATTAATAGATGCACATCTATCGTCATTCTAAAGAACACTAAGTAACTAGGCTATTATTATTATTATTGTTTTATTATAAATCTTTAGTTACCAAAGTTTTACTTAATTGATACTTACAATGAACTGGCTTGGTCAAACGAAAATTTTGTACTTGAGACTTTGACTATATGAAATGTTTGCTTTGTCGTCAAACACTAAAATGTTTATTTCAAATATTTATATTTAATTAATAGGTTTTTAAATTATTCATCACCACACCCTTGAATATAATAAAAAGTAGTTCAACTCAAATATCTTTAGATTGAAAATGTGAATAAAACAAAGACAAACTATTTACATTTCATAATATTATTCAAATGTTTATTTTAGTAATTATATTTGGTCGTTTAATGCTTCCAGGTTTCCAATGGTGGTCTAACATTGATCCATTCATGATATTAATCTAAACTCAACAATCTCTACAACCCTATACTGATAATTATGTTTGGATTTATTCAGACTTACATTGTGGTTATTTTATGATTCTATCACTCATTAGTGCTTTTAAGAATGGGATAAATATTACTGTCGTATTGTGGATAAGCTAATTATCGTAGCGATTTTGATCGATATATAGTAAATGATATATGGATATACTGAAGGCAAATTTACACATGTACTTATATAAATTAAAAAGTATCTTGTATACGGTATATTTAGGTAAAATAACAATATCTATTGATGATATCTTCACGATATAAAAACACTATTCGTGTGAAATAAATATGTAGCTAGTTACTCGAGAAAGTAATGAAAATCAAGTTATTACATCCATCAATGTAACGAACTGAAATAGCATTACTAGTGTGGTGCATGCTACTTATATTGATATAAGTAGTATATGACGCTAGTTAAAACGTAATGTCTGGCAGCAGAAGATGAGGGGAAGATCAAGAAAAGAAGAGCAGGAACACAATGCCATTTGTGAGAAAATGCATGAACAATGAAATGTGAGACAGTGGATTGATGATTGCAACAGAAACAGTCCGGTTTAGTATGGTGGATTAATATTTTGCAAATTAACGATTTACTATATGGTTGTTCTATTTTACCAAGAAACTCTGTAATTTTATGCTAATTGCATTCAATTGTCCTCACCCGTGTATTGTTTGGTCTACGTCATTAACTCTGCTTACAAAATATAACAGACATAATTTAGGATTTCTGATTGACATAGTAATGTAATTAATGTTTCATGGTTTTATGCGGAAGCTTTTATTAATAGTCCAATTACTTACTA